ATTTATATAAAAATCTGCTGGGGCTGTTATGGGGACCATTCATGTTTTTGTTCCTTTGTTCCTGTTTTTTGTTCTTGTTTTTTTTGTTTTTTTTGTTTCGACCATTCACGCCGTCTGGAAAAAAATTTTTCCAGAAAGCTTTAAAAATCGATTATTTTTTGCCCCTAAAAATGCACCATTTTTCGAGTAAGTGACTTTAAGTCTTGTCGTCCTGCATATGGTGGTCCAAATCTTTGATAACTGCGAACACTGTTGGGGTAATGCCTTATACATCTTTTGGACCCATCGTCCAGGCGTGACGATCTGAGAAGCGGCGCCAGCTGCGAAAAGAGGTAGTCAGAGGCAAGTTTGACAGCTTGCCTCTGACTACCTCTTTTCGCAGCTTTCTTAGCTTAAATCGCAAAACGAGTGCAGTGCGGGCCAGAAGTTAACAGGCTTCTCAATCACATCACTCATGATTTGGACGAAATTCTTTTGATTACACAAAAAATGGTCGTAGAAAGAAAAATTGTGAAATTTTGTGGTTGGAAAGATTTCTCTTCTTGATGTGATCAAACAGATCAAACAGACCAAACACTTCTTGGCATTGATAGAACTCGGAAGCAGTATTGAAAAGTTTACGCTTCGATCTACTGAACAGTATAAAAAAAACTGGTGTCAAAGTCCCACCAGGCGCCGAAAAAATGCGTTTGAATATGAAATCTCAGAAAGTGCCTGGAAACTTTCTTTACCACCTAATATATAAGAAACCTAGACTAGATACGGAACCTCTTTCTGATATTTTACCAGACGTCTCTACAATAAATGTGCTGATTCTCTTTCTCAACTTTCTATGAATTCTTGTGAAGTTCCCAGTTTGTGAAAGGAAGCAGTGGTCTATCACAAAACACCTTCTGCTGAGATAGTCAATGATTTTCCTCTTAGATGCTTGCTATGACGCCTATCAAGGCGATGAAGAAAATTATTAGGGACAAGCTAATCCAGAAAAATTTTTCACAAGTTACACCTAAACTGTATGGTTTTGTTGCAGGTTAAAGCATTACTATTAATCTTTTGAGAAGTGTTTTTGATTGGAAAAACCGCTAACTTCGAAAAGTCAGTTGTCATCGTTTACGTCAATATTTCGAATTGATAAAATACCATAAAGTGCTTGTGCACAAGCTTCAGGATTTTTGGATCACTGGAAATCTGCATACCAGGTTGTGTTCCTATCTTGAAAGTGGATTTATGTTTTTGGCAGTTAGACTAGGTCAGTCCTCTAGTTGGCTTCCGCGTAGAAGTGATGTGCCCCACGGGGAGGAGTTCCTTCCTCTTTGTTGTTAAGTTGTTCCAAAAGTAAACTCATCCTTTAGATAAAAAGGCTATGTTTGTTTTAGCAAACTTACAAGGGAACCGTGTCGAGTCGAAGTGGCCTTTCCGGATGAGACCCATACTGCTTTGAAGAGCATAATCGTTGATTCCAAATCTGCTTTCCAAATCTGCCAAGCGCCTCTGAACGCCGAGTTATGCTCGTTTTTCATGTCAAAAAATTGAACGCAAAACTGAAGCAAAATAGACCAAATTTGCTTAAATGCTCCAGTGTCAAGTATCAGAGCTGTTTATACAATGGATATATTTTATTCAATATGCTAATACTTAACACTGCTTTATCTGAGCCCTGGAAAGATTGTAACAATAAATTTTACCTAAATTCTGCATTCATTTTTCGTTCCGAAGAACGGTCATAACTCGGCGTCCAGAGGCGCTTGGCAGATTTGGAAGGCAGATTTTTAATCACCATTTAATACCCTTCAAAGCAGTATGGGTCCCATCTGGAAAGGCCACTTCGATTCGACACGGTTTCCTTGTTAGGATACCATTCGATACAGCGAAGCAAGCTCTATCAATGACTTTCGAAGATTTACCTATGTCGTACCTCAGTAAAGTTTGGAGCCAAGAAAATTTTCACCTGAGCATTTGTTGGGAATGAAAATCCCACCGAAAGAAAAAAATTTTCACTTAAAAATTCGTTAGGAATAAAAATCCCACTGAAAGATTCCACCGATCATTACATAGTAGACGCAGTAGTAGCGCTCAAATATGTCTTTGCTAAATTTTTTCATAGAAAAAAAGAAGATACTCCAAAAATGGCAAACTCTGCCCCCAGCCCCACCCACTATTCCATTGTATACCACAAGCCTTGACAAGTATATCCTTAAATTCATCTCAGTAAGCGTCATGGTAACCCAGAATTACCAGGTTCAACATAAAAAGCCCGAAAAATGACATTTTTGCAATTTCGGGCTATTATGATTTCTCAATTTTTTGCCCCAAAAAATCCATCAAATACATTTTCGGATCCTACTATGTGTCTACTGTATAATGGCGAACCGCTTTACAGGATTCTTCAGATTTAACCTGGTACGACATAGTCGGGTCTTTAGTGGTCACTTTTGTGCAGCTTACTGCGCTCTGTCGAATGATACCCTAAGTCTAGAGAAGCAAAAACAGCTCAATATATGGAAAAGGAGTTTGCTTTTGGAAGAACTTAAAGTTTAGAAATTAACCATTGAACTCGTCGCAATTCTAAACTTGTTTGAAGTCAAGATGCAAACTTATGCTACTACAATGCTTTTTACGGCGAATCTCTATTCTGTGAAGTGCACACTTCACTGCAACTGTCACTTGACAACTTGAGTATTTGGTACCGGGTAAAATTCTGGATGAAGCCTTCTTGCTTTCCTGGGCTTATCCTTCTCGCTGATTCCGAAAATGCAGATTGAATAACACAAAGACGTTGCGCTTTTTCAAAACTTTGTTTTGAAATTGGACGTCTGCCGCCAAGTCTAGCTAATAGGGGCAGGATACCAACATTAGTCGGCGATTGAAGATGGGTTGCATATTTACATATCTTTGAGCGTGCCTTTGAACGCTGATTCCAAATCTACTTTCCTTTTTTGCGGAATAAGTTTCCGAAAGAAGTTATGAGCGTTTGAATGTCCAAATTTGTCAAGCGAGTGGCTTAAAATCAGCGAAAAGCTCTAAAGGGCCGGGCATACTTCACGCGATTTCAGTCGCGACGCGATTTGGCAGTTCGTTAGAATTCTCCAGATCCAACATTAGCAAACTGCACACGTAGTGTGTATAACTTAGGTGGATTGATAAACTGCTCTATCTTCTGTACATTTTAAATGTGCTTACAGCGAGTTATAGACAGTTGGAATATTGCCAAATCGCGTCGCGACTGAAATCGCGTGAAGTATGCCTGGCCCTTAAAACAGTACCTTTGCGATTTTCACCAGCTCTGTTTCTTCATTGCAAACAATATGCTCCATACAAAACTGATTTTCCACTTTCCGGTGCTTTTGTATGGCTTTTGTCAACTTTAGGCCACCTAAACCTTGACAAATTTGGACATTCAAACGCTCACAACTTCTTTCAGAAACCTTTTCCGCAGAAAAGGAAAGCAGATTTGGAATTAGCGCTAAAGGCGCGTTTAAAGTTATGCAACACATCTTCAATCACCGACTAATGTTGGTATCTTTCCCAAAATGTGATACCTGCTGGGACAATGCCCTGAAGCGAACTAACGCGCCAGTGTTCAATTTTCACTGGACGATGGGTGTTCATTGTACTTGCCTTTTTCTTTCAATCGCTTTTCAAACTTACCTTTGGTTTTAGGTACGATAATCTTTGATGCTCAGTGTTCAAGTTTGACAACTTTCCAAAATTCTCATTTTATGCTTTCGAAGGAGCTTCGATGACAGCTGGATAAGGTAAACAAAGTGCACTTCAACAGATTTCTTGAAATCTTTTTTTTTAAACTCTGGAAATAAATTTTCAAGGTTACTAATTTTCTTACTTGGTCACTTTCTATCTTGTAAAGTGCCAGAATGTAAGCAAGTCAGTTGTCACCCGATGCGGAATTCTCTCTTCTTTAATAGCTTCTTTTCTTTTAAATTTGCTAAATCTTCTAGACTTTTCTTGGATAAACTATTATAGTCTTTATTTTAGATAGCGCCCAGATGTACCCGAAATTTTGAATTCGATGTTCGAAAGTGATAGACGCTCATTTTGCTTGCCAGTTTAGTATTAAACGATAGTAATCTTTATGAGCTCATAAACCAGAAGATTTTCCAAATGATGAGTTAGTGTATGACACAACTTTGCGATATTAGACCAATTTCTTTCACTTGAGAGGATAGAAGATGCTTTGAAAAAATTTACTGTATTGCACTTTTTTTCTCTATACATTTGTTACCGAAGTTCTTTTGAAAGTATGAAATGAAAAGTTTGAGAACTGCAGGTTTTGGACATGCGTAAAAGTCATGGGAAATTATAAATGGTATTGTAGTACTTTTTTTGTACATTTGTGAAAGTTAGTTCTAAGCTTCTTAGTGCATGGCTCTTATTTCAGTCTAAAATAATGTGTATAGTACCACAAAACGTCATGAACAAACAATTTCAAAATAGTTTTCATGTTGGGCAGTACTGGATTTAATTCGGTGTCAAGTTTTTTCTGTTTATTTCGTAACTAGTTGGGATGCCCGGATTCGTTCGCTCAAAACTCACCACTCCGTTTTTGATCTGAGTGAAAAATTCAGAAGCCAGTTTCTCAATCTGATGAAGGTAGTTGGTTTACCTTGTTACTAATTTAACAGTTTTTTTATGGCGCGCTTAGTGTGTATGAAATAAAGATGAAGATAAACATAGGGTACCAACCATAATACTAGTTGAGCTAAATCTTCGCTCGTAGAGGTATGAAGCACGGGAGCTTTAGAAACTATTGTTTTCAGGTGTATAAGCCGCACCCTTTTTGCTCTAAACGCGAGCAGACCCGGGCGTGCCGCCGCGCATATGTTTCGCGAAGCGGTCGCCTTATCGCATACTGCTCTCACTTAACGCGCTCCATGATGACAGTCAGTCTTTTGGCGTGTTCGCCTATAGAGCGAAAAGGGTGCGGCTTATACACCTGAATAGGGTAACTATCTAGTTGAATACTTAAGAGAAAAAAATGTTTATGACACAATTTTGAAGTAGAGGCAAGCACACCTTCTGACCTATGTCCTGGTGCTCTCATTGCATGGCAAATGAAAAATGGCAGTTACGCTTGTTCCTGACAACGCCACCGGTAAAATGAATAGAACATGATACACATCTAAGCGAAAAGATTGTGAATACGGAATGAAATGCAGACATCATATTGATCGCGAGAGCATGTTGAATTTTTTGTGTCACGATCGTCCAGCAGAAAGGACTGCCTTTTTCAGCTCTTCGATTTCTAACTGCATGTTCTCAATTGTTCGACGGAGGCTTTCATTCCGTCGCAGCAGTAGATCTAGTTCGCCTTCGGCCATGTCGCGTGCCTCTCGTTGCCTCTTCCGATAGCGAGCAGCAGCTTGATTATTCTAAAAATTTAAATGCAGATTCCAGCAAAATCGGTCATTTGAGAGCCCACTGCTTAAACTACGTAATAGTTGACATCCTTGTCTTATTTCTAAACTTTTCAAAATCCACCTGTTGCCGTTTTCTTCGCAAAATTTCCTCGGGGCTTTCTCTCTCCTCTGCTAATCCTGTGCTTTTCATCTGCATTGCTTTCACCACCATTTGCACGATTTCTTCGATGGAGATAGCATTCTGGCAATGAATTTCATTACAAACCAATTAGATGTGGTATCGAGCATATTAACAAATCAACACTATGTCTATGACATGAGGCCCACCAAAGGTTCTTCTCGTTTGATGGGCTGTGATAGGAGTGCGGGATGTTCTACATGTGGAAGAAGTGGAGAAGTCGCAAAGAAGGGCAATTGTTCTGTTGGTGGAGGTACTACCGAGTACGGAGGAGGCGGCATACATACTAAGATCAACGTTTTTGCAGGTATAATCGTTAGGATAGGAAACTCCGATCCTCACCTGCAAGCTGGTCTTGCGGGTAAGTTCCATGCTCTGACATAAAAGGCCCCATGGGGATGGGAAACGTTGGGTGAACTAAAGGTGATGGTGAAGCCACAGGGCATGGCGAAGTTAACGTTGATTCAAAGTCTGATATCGGGCTGGACTGAAAGGAGATTAATGTTGCAAGCCCTTCATACACAAAATACAAAATTCTCTTATATGAATTGGGCAGTACAACTGTCACACTAAAACAGAAAAAATAGAAGTAAACAAAACTACGGATGCCCAAGTTCTCTCGAAGCATGTAATCACTCACTGTGCCACTTCGCTCTATCTGTTCGCATTCGACAACAATCTCACGATAGATGTCATGAGGTGTTCGCTCCTCCTCATCTTGGTGTAAAGCACTATGAACCGGCGCTGACGAGCACGATGGACCTGTAGTAAGAGATCAGTGCAGCAAGAGTTTCCAAGATTAGGAACAAAATTCACGAGTCGGACTTGGCATACCCGGCTCCACCCAGCCCCAATATACTATGATAAAAGTCACCAGGTTAACGGTTAAGATTCCTATTTCTGTACAACATTACTGATCAAAATGCTCACTTACTCTTCTTTACCAACTCCCAGCTCTCGGGACAAATCTTGCAAAAAAATGGTGAAATCAAGAAATGCAATGTGATGTATAAAGGGGTTTGGTGGCATGTCCCGGTAGTAACCTTATCGATGGAGAACGCGGACTTGTGTACAATTTGTTTGAAAGGCACAAATCAACAGCAACAAGAACTATAACAACTCGTATCGCAATGTGCACCAACGCCATTAACTCGATTTAAAGGCAGCGTCCACCCAAAATTTGGCCCCCCATGTTTTCGTCATTCTGGGGCCTTTCCGTGGCCCTGATTACATTTCCGAACTTCAAACTCTCTAAAATTCGCAAAAAACCCGATTTTTGGGGACCCATTCTTGAGGGAGCGGACGAGTTTTGAATTGCTCGTCCTCGTCGGCAGGCCAGCGGGAAGGAGCTGCAACTGCATGGGTGCAGTTGCATTGCAGTGTGCAATGTGCAGCTTCTGCTCACTACCTTGTCAATACATGTCGGGAGTCACGTATTGACAAGGTATTGAGCAGTCCCTGATGGGCGGAGTCTGATATCAGACTCCGCCCAGCCAGGGACTTTCAGGCCCCTTATCTCCATTCAGAGACAACGTTAGAAGACCGGACCAACGCAGTTGCCCCTTTTCTGGGGCCTACAGTCAGGATCGACACTAATCGGAGGGGGTTAGGTTTAGCCTGGACACTGCCTTTAACCCTCTTAGCGAGGTCATTAGGCCATTCTTTATCCAAAAGGTAAGGTCCGCCATTTCTTCGACGGCTCGCTTGCTCCCGAGAACACTCTGGCAGTTTCCCTTGTCCAGCAGTATTTATACTCTGGCCAAAACGGCCTCTCTTTCCTTTAGTCTCTAGTACTTACAAAAATCTGTTCTGCATTCAAAATCTTATATATAAAGCTGAATGTCTCTTTGTCTGTCTGTACGTCTGTCTGTATGTCGTCTGTACGTATGCATACACTTCGGGGCGGGGCGAGTGTCGCTGGCTACTTTTCGTTATCGATCGATATCGATTTTATCGAATTTTTGCAAAGTTTGAGCTACGGGGCTGGGAGTTGGCACAGAAGGTAATCCAGCATGCTGATTTGTGAAACAGCGGGAATAGGTGGCGTTTAGGCGTGGGCACAGGTAAAGTTTGCACAGGGATAGGGATGAGAGCTTTATCATAGCGTTTTGACAGTGCCGGGCGGAGCCGGGTAAACCAGCTAGCTCACTATAAAAACCGTCGAAGAAAGCCTATTGATGTTTTGCGCCGTCAGAACCGCATGCGGGCGGCTGCAGCGCGTGCATTGGGAGAATTGTGCTGGAAGTGTTTCGGAACTTTGGGATCAAAATAAATCCAACTTTAGATGTCTATTTGCCACCATTCTGCCGGGCTTTGATGTTAGCTGAGACATAATGAATTTCGAATGTGACGGTGACACAACTCTGTCCACCGAGTCGCCGCAAAAGCAACAATTTACCAATATGAAAATTGCTGCACGGGTGTTGCACCTTTTGAAGCCAAGAGTGAAAGAATAGTATGGCTAAGTTCAAAACTAATAAAACAATAAGGAGCCGCTTTTTGAGTAACTGAGCTGTCATAGTGCCGAAAGTATTGCTGGCAGTGTACAGAAGCTATGCTCCTACATAAAAAGGAGTTATACCTACCAGAAGACGAGTTGTGGTCGATTATTTGCTGTGGCCTCGGTTTCCGCTTCAAGCCCATTATCGAGGACAAGATCGACCGACTCATCAAGTCGTATGCATCAAACGGAGATGTTGTCATTGTCGGTTCAATGCGTCGATTATAAGCCTAAGTTGTTGTACTCAGACATACTTCAAAAAATCAGTAATCTGATAAGGGTGATTTTTGAAGGATGTAGTCGACACAGAAGTACACAATATGTCCAAAGATATACACACAACAATAGTGTCCATATGGAATCCAAGACAGTCCAAAGGCGCGGTTCGTTGAACTGTTCCAAATGTCATAGTTTAAATCACGTGAGAAAAATATCAAAGATATGGCCATTCCTTGATCGACAACATCAAAGCATTGAGCCTCGGAGATACTGTTCAGTTTCCCAGTCGGTTACCGAATTGCAAAGAACACAGACGTCCAAACAACTTAGGTATCAAACTCAGACTTTTCTCCACTTTCTGTAGGAACTTTTCCTTTCTGATTCCTGGGCGTTTGCCATGTTATCGCCCCTATCCTTTGAACAATCTCATCGTAATTCAAAATCCCATAAGTTTTGAAAAATTGGGCGGCACATGTGGCGCGTGCCTTAAAAGGCTCCAAAAAGTAATATCTTAAAGCAAATAATCTTGGATTAATAATCATAAAAAGTAAGCTTCGATTCAACTCGAAGCCTTGCCTATTAGGCTGCAGTCGTGTGCTTCGTGACTTTACCAGAATTTGAGAAAATAATTTATTAGATATTTTCAGACAATTTTCAGAAAGCAGACAGAGAGGAAGGATTTAAAAACAGATCTTGTATCGCAAGACTTGCTCTATTAGTCTGGTAGTTAGCGGAGTACCAAACGAACAGTAATCGAAAGAATTGTGGCTTATCTAGGAGTATTCAGAGAAACTGAAATTTTTTTGGTTTGAAAGCATAATGATTAAAAAAAGAAGGAGCTGGGATTATCTGTTTGACCACTGAGGTTCATTTTCAAGCGAAGCTATGGGTCCGCAAAGAATGGGCAAAATTCTTAAGAAAACCTATTATTTTTAGTAGACGCCTCTCCGAACAAAGTGTCAGCATTGCAAAATGTAGAATAGCTTTTTAATTTCTAATCTCTCAGCAAAAGACTAGTACCAAAGGACAGAATATAATTTTATCTTTCATACACTCCTTATCAGCATGTTCAAAAAGCGAAATGAGCGAAAATACTAATAAAATTTGCCAAACCAAAGAAACAGATTTTTCAGAAGGTTATTTTAATAAATTCGAAATCTATACGAAAGTCCGTGTTTTATGAAATTCCATAGGATCATCGAGAGAATAAGGCTTTCCGTGGATGTTGAAAACAAGGATCCAGAGATTAGAAGAAAAGCATAACGTGGAAGTTTTCGCAGTGCAGAATTCACTATTTTGATGAGACCCCATTGATCTCAAAGAGAGTGAAAAATGCTACAAATTTCACGGAGACTAGAATTACTTTTTTGCAAAATAGTACTAGCAGTGTGCGAGCTGTTCTTGTTTAGTCCTAGCTATGCCGGAAATGGGCGCAATCCAGCTGGAGCAATGAACCTTTCAAGAACTAATATCGCACGCCAAGTGAACATGGTCTTTTGGAAATTTGCTAATTTAGATTAATTCTATAATTATGTTATAAAGCTAGTAACTATGAGATGGAATGCAATGGGAAGATTTCTTCGTTCTCATTGGCTTGTTTCCTTATCAGTGGTCCAGTGTGACTAATCAGCAAGAAGGACCTATTAAGAGATTACTGGATGTTTGCAACAGAAATATCAGCTGACATTAGCAAAAAATCTTTTCTATGAAATTATACCCTACTGTTTGCTTCAAATATCAAATCAACTTGTCATTTTCATTCACGGTAATTATAAGATCGTACAGGCTCATTATTCGCGAATATGGTTTTTTTTTTGAAAAATTTTGTTGCAAAATATCCTAAAATTATGGCAGAAAACCTTGCTAACAATATAACCTTACATGATTATCAACTTACAAAGCTGCAACATGTGGGGCAAATGAATAAAAATTTGAATAACATTGGTAGTAGATATAAAAAATGAATAGCAGGTAACAATAATGATAACAAATAATAACCATAAAAGCACAACTACATGTGCTCTTGTGCTATTGTTTTTCCTCTTTTGGCACACCTTTGGTGTACTGAAATTGAAGTAATAAAAACAGAGAATTGTTTGGGTGTTGGACCCCGAAGAAACGCGCAAAATCATTGGACTTACGCTAAGATAATGGAATAAACTACTAGATGGTTAAAAACTGGAAACAAATAAATTTTTGAAAAAGGGTGACGCAAAATTGCAGAGCAAAAAAAAAATGAGGGAGACTAATTGTTGCTGTCGTGCGTGAGTAGACTGGATCTTGCAAAATACAAAAAAAGCTGTTTGTTTCAAAAATTCGTTTCGCAGCAGGGCTCGGCACAGGTGTCTTATGAGCAAGCTGGATATCGTTTTCGGGGACAAAAAGCAAAGGGGGTTTCGTTTTTTTTTTGATCGAAAAGGCACAAAATTTGGCGACATTTTTTTGGGGAATTTTTTAGGGATTGTAATCTAAGGTCAAAGGGGAATTAATGAAAAATCGCAAAAGTCAAGGTGGACTTTGTTTTTTGTATTTTCAACTAGCCACCTCGTGCCGGGTCCTGCTTCACAGATGATAGATCTGTATAGAAACTTCTATAAGTTTTTGCACTCAACCAAGGAGACTCAAAATTCACAACAAAAAATTTTCTATATGGAAGAGCAAAAAATCTCTGAATGGACTGCGACACTAGGGAAAAAAATTGTTCTAAAGAATAGTACCATGATGGACACTTGTTATTGCGTGATAAGTGACAATAATCGATACCTTTCTAGATGAGCGCTTCTGGAGAGGAATAGCAATAATAGAGCGGCATGTACTTGTAGGCATTTCTGACTGCAAATACCCTTCCATAAAGTACAATCTCTGTTTTCTTAGGCTTTTTCTATAGTTTTTACAAGTAGTGATAGAGTGGAAGCACGATTCGGAAGGAATGACACGCTCCCATCAATGAACATTTGCCGGTTTAGATATCAAATATTACGGTATTACGGTAGCGTTAGAAAAGTATTGTGTGGTCTTGAAGCGAAAATTTTCAGAAAATTAATGATTCAAAATGTTAGGCGCCAAAATATCATGTGCTGAGAGATAAGCGCTAAGAAGAACCACTCAAACTCTCATAGAAGCTCGTTTTCACTACAGAAAATCAATAATCTGCAAAAGTAATAAATTCCAAACTTGAGATTCAGAAGATTTATGAGAAATTACCAGCAATAAAGAAGCGATTCTCTCACTAAAGCGTTGACACCAACGGTTATCGCAAGGTGTCTCCTATCAACTGATAAGGCCCAATCAGCAGACGTTTTCGGAGCGATGAGCATTTTTTGCATCTCTAAATGGTCATTTTTTACTACTATACATACAGTGCTAATGCGATAGAAAAAAGACAAAGCGGGTTAAGAACGTCTACTGCAACATTTTGTTGCGAAGAATTTACTGATTAGCACGCTTCCTGTCATTCTTAGTCTTTCGCAGTCCAAAGGAGAGAGAGGAAAATATAAGCAAAGTATTGTAACCTTTGATACAACTGGCTTGACGGCTGGAAGGCGGGGCTTTGTGACCTAACTAAGGCCGCTCGCGCCCGCTACGAAGTCTGCGTCTCTCTCGCGCGCGCTCTCTGATCATTATCTAGCCTTAATTAGACCACGAAGCACCGCCTTCCAGCCTCCAAGCCAATTGAATCAAAGGGTAACTGCTTTTATTCTTTCCTTTATTAGGGTGAATACATAATAGTATGATGCAAAGATTCACCGCTATAACATTTCAAAGTCGTACCGTACTGAATCGGTTCTAATAGAGTACCGCACTGAAATGTGGCATTTGACATTGCGTAATTTTTCTCTTGCACATGCTTTACAGGGTGTCCCAATGTGACTGTCATAGCCCCTGCGGCTCGCGTCCCCGCGGCCGCCTGGCGTGGACCTCGCATTGTGTTCGCATGCGTGTTGTCCAGCGATGGGACCAAAATTAGCCGCTTGCTTAGTTATATTTTCGTCTGATTTGCTTGTTTTCTTAAGTGTCTACCTTTCGACAAGATGGATTTGCTTGAAAAGTATGCGGTAGAAAGGGTTATAACCTTTAATTTAACTGGATTGGCGGCTGGAAGGAGGGGCTTTGTGACCTAATTAGACCCCTCGCGTCCGCGACGCAGTTTGCATCTCTCTCGCGCTCGTGCTCTCTGATCATTCTCTAGCCTTGACTAGGTCACGAAGCCCCGCCTTCCAGCCGCCAATCCAGTTGAATCAAAGGGTAAATCTGTCCGCTTTGCCCGAATGACTATCAGGCATGAATTTACAACAGGAATTTCTTCCACAGCTTCAAGCCAAGAAAACAAGCAAAAAGGAAACGTTTTTCAATATTAACACTTATCATATCCCTTGATTTGATGATTTGGCAAAACAGATGTTCTGTAGCCCTCTTTCTGAGCAGAACAGGACCTTGAAGTCTAAAAATTCACCTTTTTGCAGAAAATAAGTCACTTCAGAAGGCGGCTGCATACGGCAGGGGCTGTGAACTGCCGTTGAATCAATCTGTAGGTCATGTTGTGATCTGCTGTTTGGTCGGTGCGTTATAGAATCGGTGTTTAACACGTTTCGGACCGCGAAATCGCGCGCGGCGAAAAAGAGGGTACTTTCAGCCGTTAGCCAACAAAGGGACATTAATTCGCAGATTGTGTGCTACATTAGTGATCAGCATGTCAGATAAGATCCGTACCCAGAGTTCTGAGTGAATTCGAATTGTTTGAATTTTGTTATCTGAGAAGGACTTCTGTGCTTTCTTGAAAGATAGGTACAAGAACTCAGTTTCTAATTGTATTCAAAAATATCTATGTTGTACACGATACACATCATTATTGGAACTACGGTTTTTCTCTTTGTATTCGAAGCTAGGAAAAGTTGCGACGTCGCACGCGTCGTTCGCGTTGCCGCACTTTGTTGCAACTGATGTTCGATTTGTCCTCATATCTCTTGAACAGATATAAATGGCACAGCTCTAAAGACCCTTTTGAAAAGGAGGAGCTTAGGCCTTTGACTTGATAACTTGGACAAAAAGAAAACCTCCTGTAAACGTTGGAAAGATCCTTCAAAGGCGCGTGCTGCACCATGTGCAGCACCGGTCCGAAACGTGTTAAAGACAGCATCCACCCGAATTTTCGCCATTCTAGGGCGCTTTTTTCCGTGACCTTGATACGTATGAAGTTCAAGTTTTCCAGAACCCCCAAAGATCCCGATTCCCGGGAACCCTGTATTAAGAGCGCGGACGGCTACCACTATATAACTGGGCGGAGCTTGATAAGACCTGGGCGGGGCTTGATAGCACCTTGGCTTCCAGGCCCATTATCTCCATTCCGAAACAACACTGGAGGCGCGACCTACGCAGATGCCCCTTTCTTGAGGCCTAGATTCAGGATCGGCACTAAATGAAGGGGGTTAGATTTAGCCTGGACACTGCCTTTAACTGCTTCTCAACGGTTCACAGTTTATAGGGCAGCCTAAGCTCTAAGTAGGTTTCAATAGCAACGTTCCTTCCAGAGGTGTTGTCTGAGACTGTTCAACAAATGAAGTAAGCCATAACTTTCTTATAAAATGAGCGATTAGGGAATTTTGGTGTGGCACCATATATAGCTACTTATGAACTTTTTTTATAGCTTCCTATAAACTTTCTTATAAACCCTTAGAATTTATACTACAATTGTTACTTTATCCGATGATTCAATCAGTCCGAAGATCTGAACTACCTCTTGTACTTTGCACCTCAGGTGACGTATTGCTGTGCTACGACATCGTAAAAAGTTTTGGGCCTTGGTCTGTAGTCCATTATCTATGTGCTTCATCTCGTTTGTTATTGTGATAACGACTGACGGGTGCACGAATGAAATTTTCGGATAAAATTAGAGCTTCTTAGAGGCGTCCGGTCGATCATCGGTCAAAAAATCGAATTCTATTTGGAAGATCCGTATGACACAGACATACTATACTTTGGACCGAATTGAGTGATTATTTGATTATTCGAATACATTATTAGAATGCGAATGGTTCGAAAATTCGAGTATTTGAAAATCTGAGACTTCAATTGATACTGGATAGTCGAATATGCGCAAATTTTCATTTCCAAAGATTACCGATAGTCGAATGGATGGCTGTCAAATCCGATCATTCGATGTTATCGATATTCGAACATCCGATAAGCACCGAATAATTGAAAATTTGATGAGCACTGACTATTCAATATTCGTTCAACATCAAATATTCATAAATTCGATGTCCATAGCGTACACGGGGAGTCGCAAAAGTATGTACACACTGTTTGATTCTAATACTTCTCATAGTCTTTTGCCAGCCTTTGGGTAGCATCGTGTAGGGATGGCTTCAGCTTGCATATATAGCCAAAAAGCGAATCACCCATGCGTTTCTTGTCGTGGGATCACGGTAACCTTCACTATGTAGAGCAACCTTGAAGTTATCTAAAATAATTCCTCCAAGAAGATTCTGTGTAGCAGAGTTTCTATGTATGCTGATTTCAATACGCACGAGATAACAGCGTACGTGGCGTAAGTTGCGTACGCCGCTTTCACAGCGCAGTCTGGCCTAACCCAAACGCGAAGCACGGAGCATTTAGCTCTGGTACCTTTTTCTTCGTTGTTCTAGATCTATTCAGCATACTGTATGTCATATCAAGTCTCTTATCTCTACTTTCATGCTGACAACGCCCCAAAACCGCATTTTTTGAATTGATCGAGAAATCCATCAAGTCCGGCAACGCTTTTACAAAATCTCCTGTTTTTCTCCTAGTTTAACTCTTTTCACGCGGTTTTCCGTGCATTCCATAGATCTTGCTTCTGTTCATAATGTAGACAACGACCCAACGCTAACTTCTTCGATTATGGCGGAATCTTTTGTAAAAAATAGTCAAAAGTGCGTTTTCTTTGCTTTGTTCTCTTTCCATGTTTTCGCAGCGATTTTTCTTCAACTTGAGTGGTTATGATCCAGAATAAAGAGCGCAACAATCCAGACAACGTCTCAGAGAACAGGAATGAAAATGCGAGGGTAAAAATTCAAAGGACGCATCAAGAACAGGCTGTCTATGACGTGGTAAGAACTTACGTAATTTCGACTTGGTAAGAATGAAACGCTGCGGTTTTGAAACTAATTCTTCTTTTGTTTATTATCTCTTGATAATCATTGCTTTCAAAACATGGTCGTTTTTGAAATAAAAACAAAGGAAAAATTAACTTTCTCTCGTTTTCCGGCTTGTTGTGGATTGCCTGGTTTTAGAGCGAAGACCGGCACTTCAAAACGCGTCAACGTCAAATGACAGATTTCAAATTCATTGCAGCGTTTTTATTCGCTTTTTGAGAGTCTCTTTTGATTTTACTAGCTGTTTTGCATCTTTTTTCTTCACTGATTTTATATGAACAACCTTCACTTTCCATGAGGGGCAGATAATCAAACAACCTTCACTTTTGACGCCCTATCTCTAGACTATCGGAGGTATGGGAGTAAACATGTGGAAAAGCTTTATCTGCGTCCTTTTTTCCAGCATTTCTCAATAAAGTGGGTGGTTCATAATTACACCCCATAATTTGAAGTTCGGTTCTGAAGAAAACCAAAACAGTTGGTACTACTTGAAAAAGCATAGCCGAAAACGATATATGTGTCACAAGAATGGAAACCGATATCAATTTTAGAAATGTTTCGCGTCCAATACGGTTTTTAGCTGTTCATGATTATACAAACACTAAAACGATTCTCCTTTTTGTTAACCAGAACTGCAATCCTTCAAAGCAAAATTCTGTAATACTGTAACAAAGTTCGAGATATCTGTTACATACTGGACTCAGTGCAGGTCAGAAAAAGAAGCGTTGCTCTTCTCCGACGGCTCAAGATGCTTCTCAAATAATCGCCGGGGGTAGGCGGCCATGCGATTTATGGGCGGGCAGGCTCCGGAAAAATAGTTCGCTGATTTCTTGCGGTCCGCTTGCAGATATTTGGAAGAATTTTAGCGGAATTTTAGGAATGCTTGGAGAACAATCGCTGTTTCCTTATAGATTAGCTACGGCGCAGTGACCGCATTCTCGCGGGCTCTCCGCGAGAATATGCAAAATTTCCGAAGGCCGCACGGTCCTTTGTGGAGGACCGCGCAGCCCCCAGGTACTTTTCGCTGAGAGAAAGTACCTCAAATTTGAGTAATTAAACCAATGGTGACACCTCTGTCACACAGAGTCTTACCTGTGCTCGGCGTAAGCCCGAAACTGCATAACAATAGCCAGAACGCTCGCTGAAAGTAAGGCCAGCACTCGCTGAAAGAAATCATTTGAAGACCGTTCGCAGAAAATATTGCTGTCCGCCGGCGGAACATGCGACAGTGAAGGAATTACCCGCTTGGTGAAGGTTTGGACACGCCCCAAAACTCTGCTGACCGTTTGCAAGAAAGCGCGAGTTGCGGACCGCCTGCCCTCGGCATTGTTTGAGTTTTGGGGTTATGCGCTCCAAAAACGTGTATTTTTCTGTGGCACTCTAGTTTTCTTCTGCCAATGCTATGAGGTAATTTGAGCTTTGATTTGTTTTACGCTGGGAAATTCCTGCGCTCTCGCCGCGTTTTTCAATCAAGTTCCAGTTTTACCATAGGCACGAGTTTGAGCCTTAAAATTCAGCTTCTGCAATAAGCTAAGCACAAAGTACGTACAAGTTGGTAAGATTTTGTGTTTGGCCAGAAAACTTCGCAACCCTGAGCGTTTGTTTTGGCCACGCAAATGTCATTACTTAAGTGGCTTGTTCATTACAACAATCTTACTTTTCGTGGCCTTTTAGTTTCGAAGACTCAAGACAGTACATGTCTTCCAAGACAAGTGCATTGCTTGTACCTTTAACTACTCAGATAATCGCCGGGGGCAGGCGGTCCGCAAACTCGCGCTTTTCTGCAAGCGGTTGGCAGAATTTTGGGGCGTGGCCAAACTTTCACCAAGCGATACTTCCTTTACTGTCTAATGTTCTGTCAGCGGGCGGCAACACAGAATTTTCTGCAGGCGCTCGTCAAATGCACTCTATCAGCAAGCGCTGGCCGTACTTTCAGCAGCGCTCGACTTTTTTTACGCAGTTTCGGGCTTACGTCGTGCACAGGTAAGACTCTGTGTGGCAGAGTGTCACCGTTGGTTTAATTACTCAAGTTTGAGGTACCTTCTCTCAGCGGAAAGTACCTGGGGGCTGCGCGGTCCTCCACAAAGGACCCTGCGATCCTCATTGATTTTGCGTATTCTCGCGAAGAGTCTGCGAGAATGCGGCCGTTGCGCCGTAGCTAATCTATAAAAAAAACCACGATTGTTCTCCAAGCATTTGTCCAAAATTTCACTCAAATTCTTCCAAATATCTGCAAGCGGACCGCAAGAAATCAGCGAGCTATTTTTCCGGTGCCCGCCCGCTCATAAATCGCATGGCTCGGTAACCGCTCAGATAATCGCTGGGGGCAGACGGCCATGCGATTTATGGGCGGGCGGGCACAGGAAAAATAGTTTGCTGATTTCTTGCGGTCCGCTTGCAGATATTTGGAACAATTTTAGCAAAATTTTGGATTAATGCTTGGAGAACAATCGCGGTTTCCTTATAGATTAGCTGCGGCACAGCGGCCTCATTCTCGCGGGCTCTCCGCGAGGTTGCAAAATTTCCGAGGGCCGCACGGTCCTTTGTGGAGGACCGCGCAGCCTCCGGGCACTTTTCGCTGAGAAAAAATACCATAAACTTGAGTAATTAAACCAACGGTGACACCTCTGCCACACAGAGTCTTAACTGTGCTCGGCGTAAGACCGAAACTGCGTAAAAAGAGTCGAGCGCCTGCTGAAAATTCGGCCAGCCCTTGCTGAAAGAGCTCATTTGACGAGCGCCTGCAGAAAATTCTGTGTTGCTGCTCGCTGGCAGAATATGCGACCGCAAAGGAAGTGCCTCCCGCTGAAGGTTTAACCACGACCCAAAGTTTTGCGGACCGCCTGCCCCCGGCGATTTTCTGAGCGTCTGACGTCTTGAAATTGTTTTTCAGCGCTATTTTGGAAATAGGCTTTAAAATTTTTGTAAATTTCGTAATTGAATCAAATCAAATGTCAAATTAGTCAAATTTCTTGCAACATAACATTCATTGAATTACTCGATGACTAGTGATCAAATCGATTAACGTTTTCGACCACATAATCAAAGAGAAGCTCTATTTCACACAATCTATAGTCAAGCGAGGTCGGGTAGGTGCCTGACCTGGCTGTTGCACGGTCAGGCACCCACTTGTGCGCTACATGGACCTTGGGCGCTCACGTCTGACTCAGGGCTCGGCAAGAGCTAGCTTTTTCAATTTTCAAAAAAGGAAGTCCCTGTAGACTTCGGCACAAAAATACGACATCACCTATGACGCGATCATGAATAGATTGAAACGAATAACGGAAAATAATGGAACGAAACATAAAATCAACGTCGAACAAACGAAAAAGAAACTAATTAGTTTCTTTTTCGTTTGTTCGACGTTGATTAAGATCTTTAAGATCTTTAAAGATGTTCGTAATTTCCGAAATGCACACTTCTGTCTTCATTCTTTCCGCGACTGGTCGGCTAGTTTTTGGCTCTGACTTATTCCAACGATCAAGGATGGAAACAGGGCCCGGCGCTAGTCGGTTTCTAGGGTTTCTGAAAACGAAGTCTTCCCTGACTTTCGGAAGTTTTACGAAGTTCCCTTTGATTTACCAGTTAAAGAGAAGATGAAAACAAGAAAGATTTACTAGTCTGAAAGAAAAGATATAAGATAAGAGTGAAAATCCAAATTAAAGCTGAAAACTACGCATGCACAAGACTTGGCATTAGAGCGCGATATTTAACAAAGCGAGAGGAAATGCAGGCAAAAAACAAAGTAAAGGCAATGATATGAAAATGTCTTCATGCTCAGGGATAGATTTTTGAGCGGGGAATCCGTGCATGCTAAAAAGATCTGAAACTTATGTGTAAGTTTTCAAATCTTTTTACATAATACTTTCGCAAATAATTTTCTCTACATACAGTTCAATTTTGGTGTCGTATGCTTTTGTGCGCGCTGTAAACAAGCAATTTGTTTATTTAAGCCTTGCTTTCAAATCGCGCGCACTTTTCGCCATGCACGGGTAGAGCATGTCAATCGTGTGATAACCTGTCCGAAAAGCTTGTGTTTGACTAGATGGCGCTTATTCTTGGTGCTCGGTTCCGACTCGTCAAAAACGATATCCCCTTTGATGTTTGCTTTAAAAACGAAGTCCAGCCTGCTTCCAGACTATCTGTGCCGGGCCCTGGATAGAAAAGGAGTATCCGGTGGAAGAAACCGTGGCTGATCCACCGGTGATCCTTGCACGGAAGTCAAAGGCGGATCCGCGAACCCGTACCGAACTCCCAACCTTTGGAGCTTGCAGCTGGAAAAAAGAAGTCATGGATCTTCGTCAGTGGAGCGATATTTCGAAGTACGTCTACATCCACAACTAATGAAGCCTTACTGAAATCATCACGGTTTTTATTGTAGACCGTTGAGTATGAATAAATGTAAATGTAATTCTCCGATTTGGCGGCATGTTGTGTCCGGCGCGCACCCTTGCGCGCTTGAAGCAGGCTTGCCGCCGCCATAAAAAATATTTAGGCCTGTAACTAGGCGAGGAAGAGGGGGTTTGGAGAGCTTCAAAAACTTAGTTGTAGGGTTTTTGGTGTAGAACAAGGCTATGTTAAAAATGTGAGAGAAATATGTGAAGAAAGAAAAATATATGACTTTTCTTTTTGCAGCCCCCTCAGGTGGCTGTCCAGGTGGCTGGAAAGCCACCTAACTGTTAAAGAAAGTTTGCCACACTTTCAGTTCACATAATTTTTTCATAATTTGCACATAGTTCCAATTCCTATTGCCCAACTACACACCAATTTTGGTGTAATTTCATTTCTTCTTCGCTGTAAACAAGTTTCATTTCGAGGCAGGTTCACATTCGCGCGCTTAACCGGCGAACAGGTTGAAACAGGAAATTTTTGGTTTTTGCAGATCGAGAAAGCAGAAGTGACAATTTGTGTCTTTCTAGAAGATGAGTGACATAAGGGCAGAAGGCGATTGTGCGTGTTTGTGGGGGCGGGGGGGGGGTGGGGTTTCCGCTTCAACGAAATCCCCCTTGGCCCCAGCCCCCAGGGCGCTGCAGGTCTGACTGATTACACTTGTACGGAAACACTTACCCGAACGAGAGATTGAAACATACCGCTCCTAGTCACATTCCTTAGACTGCTAAAGGCACCATGGTTATAAATTTGTTGAAGCGCCCGTCGATAGCAATGTTACCAAAATCCCAGATTGTATTTTACGTACAACTTTGGCCGCAAGGGGAGCTATACAACGGGAACACATAAAAACCTTTATTCGACCCAAATTCAAATTCACTCAGGATATTTATTCGAATATGTATTGTAACGATCAATGTTGCCCTGCACTTAGTTTTTTAAACTTGCTTCATATGCCTGTTGTATGTCGTTGATTTTCTTGCGTGCATCCTAAACATTTTGGAAAGTTCTGAATTCGAAGTAGACTGATAAAGCTTCTGAGAAAAGCCTACTGCAAGAGTGCTCCATCCACCTAGTGAAGACAGCCGAAACGCCAAAGCTATGACTATGCAGAAGTGAACTCTCTTGTAGAATGCACCAGGCCTAATCCTGAATTGAAGACAATGAGGTATGAAATATATGAGGAACGACAGCTACCTAGCGCATTTCTTAGCAAGGTCTTCCACATCAAAGCACTCCTTCTTCTCTATATCTTTCATCAAAATGGTAGAAACCCAGATTACGGGAGCTCTAAACAAGCAAGTGATGCTCTTCCATGCATAAATTCCAAAATCAACAAAAGCGACAACCTGCCAAGGCCATCGTAACTCTGAATAACCACAGGTGGAATGTAATTGTCCAACGACTTTCTCATGACCTGAACTTTGCCTACTTCTCAAGATTTCAACAAGAAAATCACCAACTGACTTGAATTTCTCGATGGGAAAGTGCTTGCACAAATTTTCCAAGTATGTCGAGATCTGGCCAAGTGTCTGTTGGCCACGACTCATAGTGCATGAGGGTTAGCTGAAGATGTTTCTCTCATCGATATTAACATATAAGTAGCATTCAAATAAAAGTGAAAGAGTGCGACAATTTACCGGCCGGCCTTTCTTCCCGCTGTGTTCTTCTTCCTGTTCATCCTTCTGCTAGAATCCGGCACAATATGTATTTTAGATGGACTGGCAAAGATCCTACCGGTGATGACAATCTACTTGCGCTTGTGTCTACTGAAGGGTCTGTACTTGATAGCTGGAGATCATAGATAGAGTATCCTTTGCCATCACTCTTCTTCTGACATTCTATCACAAATCGATTTCCTCCTGTTACCATCTTCTCTCCTTCTTTCATAGGCCAATATGGATAGCATAACTTTGCATCGGTATCGCTTAGTTTCTCACTCAGTGATACACAAATTTTGCAGCCATCCTGTACCCAAAGAGTAAGTACGATGGGAGGGCGAAAAATTAAAGATCGCACCCTCCAGACCATTCGCCAGAAGTCTTGATAGTTTTCTTTTGTAGGCGCTTCCGTTAAGATATAGTCATCTCGCTCACAACAAGCATATGTGGCAGGGAAATATTCAGAGTCACCCTCTTTTACCTGAAAATACATTCTGCAAGAAGAGGACTTCATGAAAAAAAATCTTGATTACGCCCTACGCCACAATAGCATCAGAAGTAAGGCTGGTTTTAGTAGCAATCACTGGAAGAATGGGATGCAAAGTACACGTTACTTTGATACTATCGCACAATTATCTTTATTTCATTCTTATGTACTTTTCAAGCGGTGTCATGGCTGGAAGTACTTGAAGGCGTGGCTCGCGAAATTTGCGATTGCAAATTTCATCTATCCTTGACACTGCGGATGCCGTGCTTGAATTTCTCGAAGTTGTCAGAAAAAAAGGGTTTTAGAACGTCGGCCATTGGAGAATGCTGAAGGGACTAGACGAGCGATGGTCAACTGAGGCACGACTGGCTGCCTGAGCTAACCAGCCAATTGCCGCTAAAATGGGTGGAGTAACTCATCCACACAGTCTTTTTTTCAGGGAAATCTCTTTGCCGCCTTTTCAGCAGTCTTCAAGTCAGGAAATGCCATAGATAGCACTTTCCTGACAACTTCGAGAGTTCAAGCATAATACCGACGTTAGCGCACCAGAACGCCAAAAAGGGACGAAAACTCGCAGTGCGATTTCCCCGAGCCACTACCTCTAACAATAAGTCTCAATAAGTCCATAAGTCAGTAAGTCCTCCCTTTCATACTAAGTCCCTTGTAAGCCCCTCACATTGTCAGAGGCATAACTACTAAAATAATTTAGTAAAACCGTTGCGCTAGCATTCAATGTCCATAACATAAACAATGACAGACCACCGTCAGCTGCACTCGTTTCTTCTCATGTATTGGTACAGGAACACGGTTACGAGCCTGAGAAATGTAAAGCTTCCTCATATTCTCTTCTAATCATAACATCATTACCCGATTCTCCAAAAACCCTTTACAGTTGATTCTGGACGGAGCTGTGACTTGGTCAAACATCAATTTCCGTTGTTTCTGTGTTTGCCCTTTTAGGTGTGTCAACAGCTCTGCTGGTTTCTCCCCTTCTAAGCTCAGCGTCTGGAAAGATTTTATTATATCCAATGACAAGGATGTGACGATCAGCATACGTTTCCATTCCGAAGCTTTTTGCGGCCTCTCGCCCCTTTCTTGTTTGGCGTTGGCATCGCAGATAACCTTACCGTGGTTGCCGAAACGTAGAAAATGAACAGAAATTGTTGATTTTTGCTATTTATACTTTACAGCAATCCGCTATCATTCATTGTTATCGACATAGCCCTCTGCCTGGGGGTTGGTATAAGATTTATTCAGCACGACAGATGATCACTCCTTGTGAAGAAGATCTGCGGTTGCACAACCGCAGTGCTTCACTTCATTGTCACTTCTCTTCTGGAAATTAATTACCTTGTGAAAGAATCAATTTTAAACCCTCCCTTTTTCAACTTTCGCTAATACCGTACTCTTTTTTACGGACCACTCATCACTCTTAGGTACGGTACGTTGGTTAATTGGCCGTAAACAGACCTTAATGTTGATTACTCAGCCAAGATTAAAACATTTGAATTGCCGCTTCACAAGCGCAGTTGCTTCCTACCACGGTGAATCTCATCCAGACTCTGAGACGACGAAACCTCAGGCACTAGTCAAGTACAGCGAATCTGGCCACATCCACTACTGTCAATGTTTATTCTAGGAGATGCTAAGGCTGCCTACTGGCTGCGAAGATGCAATTTATGAATTTTGACTGCTAACCTGCATTTTCTGGGCAATTGAACTACTCGACCCTGAGGTCCTCATAGCATCCTTGCTTCCATACACTAAGCTTGCGGCCTCGTTCCGCGCAAGTAGCCAGAACTCACCTGACATAGAGTATTGGAATGGATAGAGGAGGTTCAATACAGTTGGGACTTAAAGGCAGTGGCTCGGCAAATCCTTTACCTAAAGTTTTTTCGCTTACCTGGGGCATTCCGACGCGCTGATTCCGAAAACACACTATGAAGAGCGCGAAAACGGCGAAAATTGGCATTTTCCGAGGCTTATCATTTTGAATTTGGACGAGTGCTCCCCGTCATGGTTAGAGACGTAGAGTCGTTGCGGGACTATCATGTTTATAGCATTGCGGCATGCCGTCCCTGAAGGTGGGAGGGGCACCGCAAGCTTGTCCGAACGGTGCAAGAATGGCTTGCGCGCACGTTTAGGGGCACTTTTCTAGGCGGGGCAGCATGCTGTGCGCTCGGACCTGCTCTGTTCTCATACTTGGGATGCAAGCAACCTTCCGTAACATACCAAAATTTTGGTATGTTTGGTTTTGCAGAGCCACTGCCTTTAAGCTGTACGCATTCGTCTCTCGCCAGAACTCCCGTCAAAAGCAGTGTCCGGGCAAAAAATCGGTGTTGAGATTTTGTGCTTACCCGGTCCTTTCACTATGCTGAGTCCGAAAATCCACGTTTGAAAGCGCGAAAACGGCGAAAAAGCGCTCTGACGCAGGAGGAAAATCAGAAGTGGGCGAGGTCTCCCCACTGCGAATTCACGCTCCAACTTCCGGAGCGATCTTCTCGGTTCCGATTTCAAGTCATGCATTTGCACCTGCCTGTGGAGATCTCAGGGCGCTAGCGGAATTGAGAAAATCGCTTCAGAAACTGGGACCGCGAAATTCACAGTGGGGAAGACCCCGCCCACTTCTAATTTCCTTCCTGCGTTAGAGCCCTTTTTCGCCGTTTTCGCGCTTTCAATGTGGATATTCGAAGTGAGCATGGCGAATAGGCCCGGATAAGCACAAAATCTCAAAATCGACTTTTTGCCCGGACACTGCCTTTAAAGCAGCTCATCCAAGCTACGCTCATCCTACCTGTGCCCTTCTCTTGCAGAGTTCTTTCCATTGTGATGTAACTGCTTAGGTACTTTTGAAGTTGTCTTTTTTACAACTTCACCTTTGATACATATTCCTCCTGGAGTTTATTTTTTAACTTCATATATCCGTCTTGTCGAAGTTGATCTTTAGCTCATAAGTCTGGCCCATCTTTCCAATATGTAACTCGTCCTCCAACTCCTTTCCGGGGACGCAGAACTGAACCTTGGTGGTCTGGAACTCTTTGGATTACCATGCTATACTGTACTAGCAAATTTGCAGACTTCTAGATCTATTTTACAGTCAAGTAATTTTCCGCTCATATAGTGTATTTGCCGTGGCGAGAAAATGCGGCAAAGCTCGCGGCTGGGGGAACGAAACCTCAATTAGGTCGAACGCCCGTAAAAGGGCTCGGAACTGGGAGGAGTTGCAGGTGCGCTCCATCGCCATTTCGATTAGAGCACCGTTTTTTCAAGTGGGGCGCACTATCTCCTAACACTTAGCGTTTCACAAACTTTCCAAAGAGATGGAAGACTGGGAGAGGGACCATGTGCAAAATAATACAATGTTTTGGTTCATTCCGCTTGCATGTACTTTTCCTCTTCTCAAGCTGTCAGGACATATCATCATACCCTATGGTTCTCATGATTTGGCGTTCATGCATTACTCAACAATACTTTTCCTTTCTGTTCTTCTATATATGACCTTTGTTTTGGTTCTTATTTTACTCTACTCACTAGAGTTATGCAACAACGCTTTTGGTTCAACAACGAAAAAAGGGGAGACGATCAAGAGGCGCGATTTCTCCGGCTGTCACCAACTTAAAACTCCATATAGTGCTATACGAGTCTTCAAAAAAACCAGATAAAGTGCATTGGATTAATATCTGTCTGAGGTTACCACTTGCTAAGTCTGGTGGCTTTTGCTTGAAAACTAACCAAAATACTTACGAATTTGTTCTTAACTGCATTTTCATGAGTTTTTGACCTTCTCAATTGCTGTTTTGAATTGAATCTAAGGTAGCAAGATTGAGCAACCCATGCAACTATCTAGTCCAGCCATAGTTAGCATTTACCCTCTATAACCTTTGCCTGAATTTAAGCTTGAAACTCATTGTCAGTAACTGTCTTGAACTTCCGTTTTAGGGTTAATCTCTGCTGCTCTAACTTCTCTTTGAGTTCACACCACTTGAGGATCCACTTTGTGCAGCTTTTAGAAGTATCTTAGGGCTGCTAGCGCTAAATTGGGATGGATTTAGCACTGGTGTTCGTGTGCGAACTCTTTTTACGGCTCGCATGTGGCCAATCAAATTCTGGCAACAGCTGTGTTTCAGTCCTTCCTACTCCTTCAAAAACATCCTTTACGGTGTTGCTTTGTCTTTTTTTTTCTTGAGACGACCTATAACTGTCTTGTTATTACATAATTTATCTCGAGAACATAAAATTCTTTCCTGAGATCTGCTGGCAAACTTGTTAGATCGACGTCTTTGAAGCAATGAGAGCTAAAAAAAAAGAAATCGAATGTGTCATATTTCAATTTTGCGCTTGATAGCAATCGTCGCCTTTTCTCATGAGCTTCAAAAGCGCTGCATAGTCGTAAATTATCATTGCTAATGTTGTTCGATAAGCTTGTCGATGATGCTTAGATTGAAAATTGAAGCAAAAATGGGTGGAAAATGGCAACTTTATGCTGGTGACCTTTATAGACTGTAACGTTTTGCTAAATGGAAAAACCGGGATTTTTGCAGTTAGTGAATAGTTTTGAATGTACAAAATTAATTTGCCCAGCTGTCAACCTCAGGAATTCTCTAGAAACAAACAAATTTTGAAACTTGGTGCTATACTAAGTTAACTATGAAACTTTACTTACTGGAATAGAAATTAATGAGAATTTTTTTGAGCAAGAGCTGACCAATGTGCTGAACATAGAACTTGGCCTGCTGCCATGTTCTCACTGACGTGAGCATCACTTCGGGACAAGTTCGTAGTTTTTCGTAGGACGGGTTCATAGGCACATGCCGTAGGCTGCGTTCATACTAATCCGGAAATCTGGAAACCTTGAAACTTGGAGCAGATCTTACTTATCATTGAGATCCATTGAGAGCATAGATATTGTATATATTCGTGGAAATACATGTGACAAGAGTCCAAACACATGTAGAGTCGGTCGAATATGCACAAAAAATCCAGCATGCTTGGAATTTATGTATTTCGAGCAAAACATTCTCAAGGATTTCAAATTTCTGGCGGGCTTGTGGGTTTGTGCTTCAAAGTTAAGCAACAAAATGGTTTGATGTTTCACAGAATTTTTTCTACGCATGAAATGCCCGCAAACGGGTCTTATCGTAACAAAGAATTGGCAGTTTTGATCCTCTGACATGATTTGTCCACATTTTACCGTATTCCCACAAAGATGTCAAAGACTATACGTATACTCAAAAAGTACCCAGATCGGCGTGGAAGTGTTTGGAGATAGTGCGCTCCAGTTGAAAAAACGGTGCTCTAATCGAAATGGCTATGGAGCGCACCTGCAACTCCTCCCCAGGTCCGAGCCCTTTTACGGGCGTTCAATTAGGTCCCGCCTCCGCGGACTATTGGTCCTAACACGATGCATAACAATAGAACGGAAGGACCAGCAGCCCGCAGAGGCGCTGCCCGATCGAGGCTTCGTTCCTCTACCCAAAACTCGCGCGTGGACTGATAGCCACGCCATAATGCCAGCATTTTGCGCGCGCAGGTGACCAGCATTACAGGCGTATCTATGTACAGGGCTTGTACAGGGCTTATCAAATGCAGTGTCGCGGTCACGGCATCTCCACTCCCGCGCTGGACTCTGCACGTCTTTCACGAACATGCTCTCTCGCAATGAGAAAGCGATCAGATATCGTCGTCTCCCCGGTGTACGTTGGGCGGAGCTTTTGCGGACATTTCAACACGTTGGTGAACTTGTTAACCCTCTACTACGAGGCATTGTTTTTTGTGATCTCTCGCTACCAACCCGCCACGTGTGACAACAGCATATAAACGTGGCAGGTTAGAGAGTACAAAAAATCATGCTCTGAAGTAGAGGCTTGACAAGTTCACCAACGCATTGAAATGTCCGCAAAAGCTCCGCCCAACGTATCGTCGGGAGACGACGATAGCATGTTCGCGAAAGAGGTGCGGAATCCAGGCGAAGCAGCCGTGCGGTAGCAAAAATGCTGGTGCACCCGACACTGCAGTCGATAAGCCGTGTATTCGTTCACGTGCAAATTTTACCGCATTTTCTCGACACCACAAGCACACTATATCAAGCAAAAATCTACTCGACTGTACCATCAGCCCTTTTGCTTGTTGTTCTGTGTAATGTCACTAACACTAGAATGCGGAGCTATCTGACGCCTGTGAAACTTTATTACTGCTTTACATGGCTGGATTAACTAAAAGATGGATGACCGATAACTACCACGTTTTGTCACCATATTGTTGTTATCACAACAAAATGCTGCTTTTTGTGTCTCACCAATGTTCACAAATGTTCATTCCAGCAATAAACAAGCACCAACCCTTTTCTAACAATACAGTTTTTCCTTAACAGATAAAAGTTACTCTCACAAGTTACCAGATAACGATATGGCTGCAAAAAGATGAAACACAGTTGTCAAACTTTCATATAGATAGAATTTTTGATAATTTCCACAACGAAATGATGAACAAATATTGAGTCCGCAGCTCAAACATCCGTATGAAATTTTTGACAATATCACAATGAAATGATGAAGAAACTCAGTTCGCAGCTGCTGAGGTAATTACAAAGGCACATCATTCAGTTTTATTGCGACCAACAGCCGTGTCGGCGCGACCTTTCACCATCTCCTCATTCTTCTCGTTTATAACTCGTGTCACTTCTGCAGCTACTTTATCCTAAAATAGCGATGTTTCTAAAGTTTTTCTTGTACAGCTAGTGAGTTGTTTACCTGCTGCAGAAGATTTTGTTTCTTAGGGGCAATATACAGATTATGTCCGCGCTTGGGACCATTTGGTTTTGGTTTCTTCATCTTCTGCTTCACACCTTTTGGCAAAGTAGTCTAGAAAACAACGACATCGATATCCTAGCCAAATGTCCAGCCCAAATCAAAATTTTCTTCAGGAAGGATTCACTTTTGAGCAACGCAAATAGGCTGATCAGAAATTCACAATATATTAGCGTAATAAAAGAAGTATGCACAAACCTTTTGTTTGACTTGATGTTGAACCATCTTTATCTCAGAAACAGGGTATATCCAGCAGCGAGAAAACAAGCGACAGAAACAAACGAATGCAATCGGACGCCGATGACAGATGCCTGGAGAAGTGTCGTTTGATTGATCAAAACAATGTTCGGTTTAGCACCCAGACTGAACTATGTCAACCTAGGCTGCGAAAGTTGCAACTGTATGGCTTGCATGCTCGACATTTTTCCTTCTTTAGACGAAAAGTTTTAGCCTTATCATCCGATAATTCGTTGGATTTTAACAACAAGAATACTCAACAATTACTCGATGATAGACCCAAAAAAAGGAAAAGAAAAATGAGTATTTTTACGAATATTTTATTTTCATTTTTTACGAATATACGAATGCAAATAAATCTAAAATCAATGCGCATATTTCATAAAAAAACGATTTTTAAAGTCAGGATGAGTTAAATCAAATTCCGGAAGGAATTCAAGCACATGATCTGATAGCTGCTTAACGGACTGGCAAAAATGAGAATCAAATAGCACTAGGTAAGCAAAAAAATTTGATTGCTCCATCACTAAAAGCACATACGATGCTGAGTGTGCATTGACTTCTCGGACACTTTCACAATGTGCAATACCTTAAGAGCAACATAGCAACTTTACCTTATAAAATACTCCAAGAAAGCCTTTCTTCTCAGAAAGAAGCCAGCTATGGATTCGAGGAACTCTCTTCAAGTATGCGCAAGAGCAGATGATAAGAAGAGCTACAACAACTAGTCCGTCCAAAGAATATGCTGAAATGATGCTCACTACAGATCGGTGCCAAACTTGAGAGCCAACGAAATTCGCAAAAAAAAGAACTGATAATACCTACCGTTCATAAAGCCCTACAGTATCGATTGGCCTCTGGCACTAAAAAGGGTATTTGACCTAAGATCCGTTCAAGCTGGTGCAGAGATTCCAAATGAAAGATATAGTTGGTGTAACCGTCAAGGAAACAATTAATTAGCGTTGCAGATTTATTAATCTCTGAGATTATGCTAATCGATCCCAAGTGAATTCAGGGAGATCTGACCTCAAGCGTACTTGAAGGAATGCAGCATGTAATATGAGAAATGCAATACATCACTGAGATTGCAGAGGAAAACTTGGTAGTTAACAAATTTGCCAGTAAGAGACTATGTAAGTAAAGACTAGACAATATTGTATAATCCATTCTATGATATTCAGCTCTATCGTAACTTATAATTTTTGACGTTTTAATCTAAATTTCATAATTTCGAAATCTTCTAACAGCTTCTGACTGATATCTATCAGCTTCCCAGCGGGCAAAGCTCCTCGACATGTGCTCTTTATGCTCCTGCTTTGTCTTATCAGAGTCTTCCGAGTTAGAGAGCATGGGAGTCTGTTTAGGAGTGACCCAGTGCATGGACTAGAATGAAATTTGTTAGCCATTAGCATTGTGCATACCCTACCCTCAAAGTTGAACGATACGATATACTCCACTGGGCTCTGTTTATCAAGCGAATGCAGACTGAAAGAAAAGAGATTTCCAGAGTGGAAAACAACGCACCACTTTCACGGCATCTTTATTTCTCTTGAATTCCTCATAACTGAGCGGCAGCAGGCACTCCAGCCAAGCATCATAGCATTTCCGTTCTTCTGGATCTGATAAAGTTGAATAAGCTGTCTGAAAAGATAGCACTGATATACATGGTTGCAAATTTGCAGTCTTGTGCACCCGTCTATCATATGGAGTTTTTTATTTCTCATGTGAAAGGATTTTTGCCATCGAGAACGCCAACGAAGTAAACAACTGTTCTAAATTGGAGATCAAATTTCAGGTCGTGTTAGTAATTTCGAGCTATACAGGTAGACAAGTAAAAGTGATAAAAAAAAGAGCTCAACATCTTGGAAAACGGATAATCTAGTAATTTAACATGGAAAGCAAATTCTTCTGTAGTCAGCAACTTTTTTCATATTTCTCTACCTGAAGCCGAAGGTACTGATCTTTCTTGGCTTGATCGCTTTCATCAAGAAGCTTGTCTGGATGGAGAGATTTTACTCGAGCGCGATATTCGGCTGTGATCTGCTCAATCTGAACATTCTGTTAATTTACTACAATCTGAACAACCCATAAACATACCGAACTTGCTCTGTCACATCCTAGTGTCTCGTAATACTCAGCTTTTCTTGTATTATCACCGCTGAGAACCTGATCCATGAAATTCATTCTGAACCTCAATTCGTTGATTATAAAGTGACCAACAGAAATAAAAAAGAGAGAGGAAAGGAGAAAACCGTAGAAAAGTTGATCATATATAGTTATATATAAGAAATTTATCAAGTACATACTATCATCTAACAATGTAAATAACAATTGAAAAACAACAACAATAACAATAACAATCATCAAAGGTAACAAATTCAATCTAAGCCACTTCTTCATTTTTCCTTTTTTTGGGAAAGCGTCTACCATTCCTATCCACATTTTTCGATGACGTTTGCCCGTTCTCACGCAGAAGTTTTTGTTTGGCCTCTTTAAGGGCGGCTTTTCGGAGGTGTTTATAATTCTAGAAGGTACAGTAATAGACAAACTAAAAAATAAAAACAAACGACTCTTTAAAAGAAAGTTTGAATGAAAAACCTTTGCAAACACATCCCGCTGATTAGCCCATCTTGGAACAATTTTTTCTAACGACTGCGTTCGCTTGAAATTGCTGACCAAGCTTTGTAGATGTGGTTCATCACCGGTAACAAAGAACTTCGTCACAGGTGCAGCCTAATCTCAAGAAAAATAATCTGCATCTTTGAAGCTGTGCTAGGCAGGGCATACCAGACTCAGTTTCTGCAATCCAAGTTTGCCATAGATGCTATCGTTTTGCCCTACATCCTCGTCATCATGTCCAAGAATTTTATTCAGCTTCTGTAAACTAAAATCCTAAGAGATTTCTAACCACAGTCAACCAACCTTATTAACGACTATGTCTTCCTCTTTGCCTTTGACTTTACTTTCCTGCTTGTCTTCCGCAACCGGTTCTGCTCTACCCATCATAGCCAGAAATGAGAAGCCACCGTCGTTTTTAGCATCATCTGCGCTAGCTTGTCCTGCCAGACGAGCTTTGAGCTGAATAAATCGAAAATCTGATGGAGAATTCTGACGATCATATCCCACTATTCATGATTCCAAACCTCCTCTGCAAATTCGGGTTGCATCTCATAGTGTATCCCAGTACTTACGACGCCATTAGTTACTTTTTCATCTTTCTCTTCTTCAGATTCATCAGCTGACTCTCCACTGGATTTCTTTTCCTCGCCATCTTTTGCAGAAGCCTAGAGCCATGTACAGAGCCTCTTGAAGAAATTTAGCCAGAAAATGTCAAAATTTCCTACTTCTTCCTTTTGCACCCACTTCACATGCTCCTCATTGAAGGGATCAAACCTAAGATGACACATTTGGGAATGGAGTGTAAACAATGAGCCGTTTTACCTGGTAAAAGGTCGAAATCCTAACTGACCACTTGCTACATCTTTACTCGACGTTTTCAGTGTTTTCTTTTTCGGCTTTACCGTACTCCCGAGCACTTTCGACAACAACTCCAGATTCTTCGATCGCTCTTGGGCAACTTCCTAAACAACAGCAATTACATGAAAGTATGTGCGCAACAAACTTACATCAGTCTCTTCATCTTCACTTCCGCTGGAAACAAATTTTTCATCAAGGTGAAATCGAGAGTCAGAGTTAAATCTTGCTTCTAGTTTCATGAGCTTCTCACCTCAAAGTGGAGACACTACGCAACTACGCATGACATCAGGATGCTCATAACCAAATATGATTACCTTTCTTTCCTACATGTCGGTTCACAATGTTCAGTTGTTCGTTATTGTCATCACTTTCTTCAGAAGAGCTTTCTTCAAATAGCTTTGGATGTTTCGAAGATGAAATGGCGTGGGAACTGGTGGAGGGCTGCTCCTAGAAACTAGCAAACAAGTATCATACATCATTCATTATAGCAGGGTAGTGTGGATGCTTTTTACGATTGAACCAGGTCAGCACTCAAGATAAATCATACAGGATCTGGAAAAGACAAGATGATGGGTTAACCCTACATTATATCAGGTAAGAGATGTTACAAACTAGTCTTGACGAAAGCGGATCGAATCTGCAAATGCGAACGACAAAGCGTCTTCCCATCATCCCCGAATGCTTGCGTACGCCTCATTTCATGAGCGACAGCTTCGCTTGAGGGTAGCCTCTACACAATCGGAAAAAAGAAGAGAAACGAGGAAGGAATTTAGAATGGTTACAAAGAAAGTGAAAAAATGAGAAAAATGCATTTAATGAGAGTAGTTCTTCCATGTCACCTTTCAATAATTTCAAAAATTAAGACCGCAAACTACTGTCCAAAATGAAGTATAGACCAGATTTGCTATAAACCGCAAAATCTACATCTTCAGAATATGCTGGTTAATGACAGATGAGCCAGCAAAATGGACACAAGAATAACTCTCTTCGAAACCAGAACGAAATAAAAATAACGTTGAACCACGCCCACCTCATCTTCGTCACTATCCTCGAATACAACTCGTTTACTTTTTTGGTCGACTTCTCTCAAAGCTTTGGACATTATCGCTTGCCGTTGCTTTTCGAGTTCCTTTTTCGCACGGATGCTTTCAAGTCGTTGAGCTTCGGATCTGGCTCTTTTCTCTGCTTTTCGCCCATCGTCATCTAACGTCATTGTCTGCATAGCAAATTACTTCCGCGCTAGCAACAAAAGTAGTTAGATGGCGTTAGCAAGATAGAGCAGCACAAACTGTGGAGCTAGTTGATGATGTCACCATATTACATATTTTATCGAAACAAGGTGCATGTAACAGCAAAAAACTTCCAAAGCTAATCAACACAACGTACAACGGAAATGAGAATAGCAAGATCAATAAGTACACGGTAAACAAACCAGTTTTGTTCCAAAAACGTTGAGATACAGATACTAGGAACGAAATGCTAGGTGGCGGAGCTTGTGAATGAGAAAAAAAATTGCGCGACTACGTTCAACAAGTTCCTACATATATTTCAGAAATTACAAACTTGTAAGAGAAGCATGGAAATATTGAGTAAGAAGTAGATGTAAAAATTACCGCGATATTAGAAGACTGTTTTGTGATGACATGACTCACTAAGCGTCCACAGCAGCTGCCATTAACTGTATATCCTCCAAGTTAGAGTTCAATACAGCAACAAGACTTTCTAAACCATCCTGGCACCTATCCAAGTATTTCTTCAAGCTCAATGCATCGGACTCGTCTATGAAACCCGTGTCTTTTGAAAGTGAATTCCTCAAGTTGGCGTCTTCAACTCGTAGCGTTTCCGAGATCTCAGCAATACGCTCCTGCAAGCAGAAATTCTTTCGGATACTTAAGCAAACTCTCGTTTGTCACCATTCACCTTAATCTGGTGCGGAGCATTTAGCCGGGCATTGATGGATTCCAACGCCGACTGCATGCTTTCTTCAGTAGCATCAATTCCTTGCGTAAATCGCTGCGACATCAGTTGCATAGATAACACCCTACAATCCATCACATGAGAAGAGATACGCACAGGTAATGGGCGCGCTGGGGAGAGAAAAGTAAGGAGCACCTCAATAGCCTATGTGACAATCGTTGCTGTATAACTTTTTGTTGAGCGAGTTGGACAGCAGCAGCGGTTACATTCGCTTCCAGTCTACCTATACGAGTTTTCATGGCCTCCACGACGGCATTTTCAATCCGAATCTGGAAACAATGGCTTGTGCATTAAAGAATACGAACAGAATACCAAGCTCTTTGGAAGAACTAATCAGAAATCTGCAACTATAACCAACAAATAAGCTAATAGAAAGCATGACAGTAAAGAAAACGTCAAGACATACATTCTCGATTTGCGCCTTCTGCCTCATTCTCAGCTGCTCAAAGCCGCGAATCGGATACGGAAGCAATCTTTCAGGGTCAGGATTTTCTCGAACAGCCTGCGCCCATAATGATGCATCGAATCCTAGGCAAGATAAATCGTACGGAGACACAATCATCAATGGAAGATTAAGCAGAGCAAGTCGAGGAAAAGAAATGGTACATCTTTTTTGTGGGAACAGAATGCGAAACACTTAATAAACATAACCTGATGAAAGTTGGGACTCAAGATAAAAACTCGAACAGATAATGAAAGCGCCAAATGTTTTTTTATCTCCAAAAAAATATGCCCACATGATTTTGAAGCCAATAAGTTCAATATGTAAAGTGGGACATTTTGCAGTATTTGTTATCAAGGAAGACAAATCAGTCTAAAAGTTTTGGAAAATCTGCACCACCTGCCCTTATCGGACTAATGAAGGCAGAAATGAAATCGTTGCATATCATAGAGATAAAAATCAACTTGAGTTGAGATGAATGCCGTGTGAATCGAGACATGAGATTGCCCCAAACTCACATTATTATGACTTGAAAAGGCACTTGGGTGATAGACAATTCAAAAGCGAATGGTGAGCTGGCATCACAGAAATTGAATTTTTGGCAAGAAAGAATACAAAAAGAAACGCAGTAGAAAAAGCTTCCATGCACATAATAGAGGAACTAAGCAGGTTACCTGTAGGAGGATCCTTCAAATAGAGCTCCTTTTGTTGCTTGTCCATATGAACCCGCGATATTATCTTCTCTTTATCCACCTGAAAATGGCTTCTGCTGTTAGAACGATACAACAGTTTCAGAGACCTTACTTTCAACTGACTCTCCAGCTGTTGTTTCTGTGTAGCCTGGTTGAAATACTGTGCCAGCTCTTTACTAGAGATCCGTCCGCGAAACTTCTCAGTCACATAAACACAAATCTGCAACAGTAGTAGCTTGAGATTCGAAAGCCAAAATAGACGCTTTGCGAACCTCGGTGTGATTATCTGGAAGCGCTTTTATGCTCTCGATATGAGCATGAATAGTGGGTTTGCTGCCAAGAATTACGAAAAGTGCGTCTACAAACTTTTGTTTCTGCTCACTAGTTTGATAGCTAGAAATAGATGAGTACTTATTGGAGAAAAAAAGCTGTACAAAATAGTGCTTACTCCGTAAATGGAGCCTTCACCACCAAAGCAACAATACCATCTGAATCTGCATACTCCGAAGGTCGATTATAGCCGATGGCCTACAAAATGTGTTCATCTTACCGGAAATGGAGATCTTATACCAAGACCAGAGTGGGAAAAGAAGCATACCTTGATGCGATGAAAAGGTCCTCCTTGCGTATATTGTACGGGTTGCTGTCCATCTTTGTAGTAACCACATCCAGTACCCAAAGCAGCGGCCAACTGATTAAGTTTCGCTACCATTTCGTCACGCTCGTCACCAAAGAGTTCAACCTTCGTCAACGACCTAACGAGTGCATCGGATTCCTGAAATATCCAGATTTTGCTCAGCCAAAGCATATCAAGTCAATTACTATAAGAAATCGAGAGAAAAACTGAGAGAAAAAGGTATTAAAAGCTAAGAAAAATTTGTTACAAGTTTCTCATACTATCTAGAAAAAAACCAAATTCTGTGAAAGCTCAATTTAGAGTAATCATTGCCAAGCTATTGCTATCGATCAAAGGAAGTAAAAAGAAGGATAAGAAAAAAACAATGTGCACCTGCAAAATTCCCTGGACGGTTTGTTTGGTCTCAGTGGCTGGCTGGGCAGTAGCAGCAGCACCAAATAATCCACCGCCCAATGGTTTTGAGCCAAAAAGTCCAGTCCCTGCGGTACTCCCAAAACCAGTTGTAGCTGCAAAATTCAGACATATATAAAGGAGAAAAAATAAGGATAAACGGTTGCACTCACGCTTCGAGAACAATCCTCCAGAGGCACTCGACCCAAACAGCCCACCAGAGGCAGTAGTTGTTGTCGCGGTTTTGCTGCCAAAAAGTCCTCCAGATGTGGTAGTTGTGGTTCCAAACAGGGAAGTGGTAGTGCCCGACTGCGGCACACTTCCAAACAACGGTTTCGAAGCTGGCCTTGATGAACATCTATCAGAAACTGCGTAAGAAACTCAAATACCACAAGGTCTTACGTGGCAGTGGATGTGGAGCCAAACAGCGACGGAGCACTTGTTGTTGTAGTGGTGGCTCCAAACGTGAAACCTGACGACGTAGTCGCTGTGCTCGTAGAGCCAAATAATGGCTTGCCTCCGAACAAACTCATCTAGAAAACAATTGCGGTTATCTCAATTCGATTTGAAGTTCGCCGTCCAATTCCAAAGGGAAGGACATTGAAAACCGCTCGTTTTCGGCATTTTCAAGCTCTCAAAAGTGGATTTTCGGAATCAGCGTATTGAATAACCCCAGGTAAGCGAAAATTTGACTATGTTGAGATTTGCCGAGCCACTGCCTTTAATGCTCCGGACAAACAGGCAAACGCCATTCCTCCCCACTTAATCCGCTTCGCTATTGGTTAGTTCACTGACAATGGAAGGAAGGTTGGTCGAAGTAGCTTTTTTGATGAGATGTTTTGTAAAGCTATCGCTGATTCCAAATCTACCTTTGTTATCTGCTGCGGACTTTTGAGCGAGGAGCTATCAAGATTTTTGTGAGTAAAAAGATGAATGAAAATTTAGTATAAAGTCAGTCGTAGCGTTCAAATGAGGCAGCAGCGAGTTGGCATATTCAAATCAGCAAAATTCATTCCACCAAGTGTCCCGACTATCGGCTAGCTCTAGAAAAATTGTTACGACTGATTTTGTGCTAATTTTGCATCCTTCTAACTCACAAAAACCTTCATAACTCCCACAGAAGTCCGCAGCAGATAGCGAAGGCAGATTCGAAAATAGCGATCCAAGCTTTACAAGATAGTGTACACCACATTTTAAAAGCCACTTCGACCGCCCTTCCTCCCCTGGTGAGTTGACCAATGACGAAGCGGATCAAGTGGATCCAGTGGATTGAGTGGATCAAGTATGGCGCGTGCCATAGATGAGAGTGGTCTGCCTAACATTGGGGGAAAATGGCTGAATATCCTACAAGGTACTGCATCGCACACCATCGAAGAAAATGAACGGAAATGCGTGAAGAAAAAGCAAACGAATGCAAGGCAAAGTGATTACACTAGCTCACATTGATGTACTGGTCAGACTGAACTGCTCACTCTATCACATCAAGAAAGAAAAGAATCTCCTTTATATCACAAGAAAGTTCAATTATGCCTATTTTCTATAAAAAGACCATATATAACATTATATATATTTGAAAATTATGAACCAAAGTGAAGACGGAACAATAAAACACCTTCCGAGGTAAAAAAAAAATTTACAAACACGCATATTTGGCGACGTGAACAATGGCAGCGAAACGGACTAGTTGCAGAGTATGATAGAGATTAGAGAAGAGGAAGGGAGGTGATGATAGACAGCTCATGAAGATCCTACAACACAGCTATGTTTAGCTATGACACAACACGAAGAAAGTAAATTTGCAAAGCACAAAACGGCTGACCCCAAGCTTGCTGAAATCGGTGCGCAAGAACACGTATCTCCTGGAAGACTCCATCTCAATCATCTTTTTCCACCTGAGGGATAGCTTCTTCATCATCGCTACTGCTCACTTTTTCACCAAAAAGCGTCTGCTCGGAAACCGAGGCAGAATCCTAAAACGACAAAACGAGATTACTAAAAAATAACATCGTATAGAGAAAATTGAGAACTGATACAACGATAGAAACAAGGAAAACATGCTTGAGTCGTGGAAGAGATGCATGCTTGTGCGTTCATCGGCAGGTTAAAAACCTTTCGTTTCTCGTCAGCAGCGACTATTTCCCATCGAAATGAATCTGCTTCCAAATCAGCACGAAGTAATCGTTTGAGCTCTCTTTCAACCTAGTAAGTTATGCATTACATAGAAAATAAAGTGCATAGACAACATTGACATGACTGCCTCACTTCCGGAGCTTCCATATACTTCTTTTTCTTTGTTTTTCGGAAACGTCGTTGCCGCACGCTCTTCATTGGCGGGGTAAGGCCGTGAGGATACTGCCACTGTTTCATTTCCTAAGGATAGGAACAACTTTTCAAAGTACCATGGGTAACTATAAAATTTGTTTCCATCAGTTTGTGACCCTCTACCACATGAACGGAGCATAGATAAGGCCCTGGCCAGACTTCGCTCAAAAGCGCCCAAAAGCGCCCAAATCTCTCTGGTGTCTCTACAATTTCTCGTGTGAGGAGAGATGAGAGAGAGTGAAAAGAGCTTACAAGGAAAGTCACTTAACTTAGGTCGGGCTTTTGAAATGAGACACATATGGTTGGAATCATCTTGAAACGCTGATTTCAAGTCTGCTTTTCTTAGCTGCGAAGCGTTCCTCTAAAGCGAGTAATGAGCTTTTTGCTGAGCAAATTTTGCGTGTTGACCGACTTAGGCATGCTACGGTATCATCATCTAGGTAGTGGTCTAAATGCATATTACACCCTATCAAAGCCAAATGACTCAATTTGGTGTTATTTCGATTTTCCACCACTTTTTGGGCAGATTTTCATTTAAGAAGCTTCTTTCCATATTCAGTTGTATGTCAATGACACCTACTAAAAAAGCTCATAACTCGCTTCAGAGAAACGCTTCGCAGCTAAGGACAGCAGATTTGGAATCAGCGTTTCGAGCTGATTCTTAATATATGTGTTTCATCTCAAAAGCCCGACCTAAGTTAAGTGACTTCCCTTGTTAGAGAGGTTTGGGCGCTTTTGAGCGAAGTCTGGCCAAGGCCTAAGAAATTACAGCTCATAGTTCAACTTCGGATCTGCTAGTTTTAGTGCTCGCGTTTCTGATATAAAAGAATATTTAAGAATGTGTTCATGAGTGTAAATTTTCAAGGTTCAAGATACCAGCCAACTTTGATGCAAAATAGAGTTTTGGCCTACAATTCATTGAGAATTTAGCGAAACAATGACATACGCGTCGCAAAATCGAATGTCTAGAAAGAATGCTAAAGAAAAAAGGACAGAAAAGGAGATATCAACAACATAATGTGAACTGATGTTACAGCATACCTTCTTACTCCCAGGCTTTATTTGTGATTCTGCAGGATCGACTGATAAATCGTGGCTACATACAACAATTTGGGATAAATCGGCAACTTTGTACAGCGTTTTCTTGTCAAGGGTTTTTGTAACCTGTAAAAAGACTACGATTGTGAGTTACCCGAAATGTGTGTTGGAAGTAACCAAAATCAAACGAAAGAAATACTGACTTCCGTGATACATGGCAGATCATAGATTTTTGCACTCATGATATGTGTTCCAAGTCGCACATTAGCATGTCTCATGTCTGTGGAGGTAAATTGGATAGCTAGGTCATCTATTTCCTTGTTCTGACTTTCGGCAAGCATCGCATCCACCTGAAGGTGTTTGTAACATGCATTAAGAAATGTTTCAGTTGATGACTTGACACCATTTTTTGAAGGAAGGTCAGGCAGAGACTAGTCGATAAGCGGTAACAAGGCTTCTCTGATACAATCATAGCAAAGTACAGACGAAAATATTTTCAAGAATGCAGGATTAGAAAATTTATAAAGGAACAAGTGAAACGAAGTGAACACGATCACTCACCCGACCTGCAACATCATTTGGAACTCTCAGAATGAGATGGTTCTCCCAGTCTTGCACATCTTCCGTTACCTCGCAGATCTGTAATGGGAGAGTCCAGCAGTGAGAGAGATTTAGAGATTCAGTTTGGAAGACCCACCTTCTGTGGAACTCGCTTTGCGAGGATTCGGGAGGATCCCGCTGACATACGCGGGCCCTAACAACATAATTTTGCAGGTTGATGCATACAAAGTGTTTCCGTACGTATTCAAATCCTTACAACCAATCAAAACACAGGAGGATATCAAAAAAGAGAACGGACTTGAACCGAATTTCATATGTGTAAGAAAATTTGAATAATAAACCAAAAATAAAACAAACTGCACATGGCTTGACAACTAACTAGAAATACACACCTAGATACTAAAATGTTGGAAAAAGCTAGCGGGCGTGAATATTGAGGCGAGCGTGTGGTTGCGTACAATGCAAGTGCATGACGTCAGACAAATGAAGATGCACTGACAAGGGAAGGATACTTGGTCGAAGTGGCTTTCCACAGGAAATGTAAACTGTCTTTTAGAGCATGGAACGCTGACTCCGAATCTGCTTTCGATGTCTGCAAAGCGCCTCTGAAAGGGAAGTACGGAATTTTCAAAGCAAATTTCGAGACGCGGCCACAATAAAATTCTTTAGAACTGTAGTCCGTATGCTTGGAGGGGATAATGCTCGCTGCCAGGGCGCTTTGTGCAGTTAGCACGTTCATTCTCATAAATCTGAGCTAGTCGTTACTCCATTCAAGTGCCGGAAGACCTTAAGGCCCCGGACAGACTTCACGCGATTTGATCGTCGCGACTGAATCGCGGCGAGACAGCTGTTACAACATCATTCCATGCCGATCAACTTGCATTTCGGTTGTGATATTTGTCAAGTCCAAGAGGTGCACTCTCTTGACTTGAATCCTTCACCCTGATTGTCTTACTTTATATGAACATGACATTATGACTAGAATCTTCATTATATATTTATAAGTAGAATGAGAGGGGAAGGGAAACCGCCGGTCACCCGGTTAGGCAGCTCATCTGGAGTTGCTGGGCACCGCCCAGTTGGCGTGGGGACTGTCGGACCATCTAATTAGTCTGCGTCTCGACATGTCCATTCCATAGTAAAGCTCGTCCCGAGCTTTCGTCCTTGACCATGGCTCAAGAGTAGGTAATCGTCATCAAAGCTGCCCATGTACCATTTGCTTCATCGCTGCTTTGTTTGAGTACAGGAGGTTGCTGCTGCTATTTTTTTACGCACAACGACTTGTTCTGGAAAGATTACCTCGAAAACGGTCGTAAGGCCAGCTTTCGCACCTTAGAAACATACGTCTTGCTGGACGTATCAATTCGCATAGCTAGTTGCATAATTTAACTTACTTATGAATATCTAAAAGTGCCGACTTGGCTATTTTCTTTGACATGAGATGGAAAGCTGCGGAACATTTTGCGTAACTCTACTGTGTAATTACTGGAACTTCATGAACGTAGATTAGGTATGAGGATCGAGCCGAAAAATACTCTAAAGCACACAGGTTTGGTTTTTTTTTAGAATGGATATCTGGTTTTCTTTTGAACGATGAGTAGAAGGGAGAAAGGGTTTCCTCTATGAAATGAACGATTGTTTTGATACATCTCAAAGCATAAGTCATTAGTGAGCGCTTTATGACCTTTTTCAAGCTTTTCATGCTCCTCATAATTTTTTTTTCGTGATGACATGAAGAAGAGTGTTGAAAACAAGCTACAGTCGTGCTAAATGTCCGAATGGCTACAAATAGTTGAGCATGTGCGTAATTTAGATGTTAAAATGCAATCTTTTTTTTGAGTTACGCCGACAAGTTTTTCTATTGGTTTTGACGCTACTAGGTCCGCCGTGTATGACATGATTTTCTAGCCGTGTATGGCATGATTTTCTATTTAAGCAACTAGTGTACTGTAGCCTCTTCGAATTCCTTCCAAAGAAGGCCAAAGCTGTCGGGCCAGGCTAGAGCGCTTTTATGAGATAACAGAGATACGAAACAAGTATTTTAGTTCATAGTATTACGTCAAAAATGCAGAAATGAATTTTTTTTTGACGAAGTCGATGCTCAGAAAATGGTCAAATAATTTGCTTGACTTACAAAAGTCTGCAGTGCTTTGCTTCACAATTAGTGGCATTGCGAATGAATCACTATTGTGTAGTCAGTTTAAAAGTTCCACTTTCCTTAAACCTCGGCATCACTAATATTCTTCAGTACTGCTGTGCCAGACAGGTTTGGTAGGTGTTCTTTATTCCAATCAAGGCCTAACGTTTCGACGCCTTTCGTCTTCCTCAGAGGCCTGAAAATGGCTCAAAGCGTCATCTGTGAAAAGAGGCCATCAAGCACCATCCTCATTCCTGCTAGTTCTCGATCTTCGCTCAACATCCCTACCGCAAAAATTGTCAGCGCCAGAAAATGAACATACCGTTGAGAACACCGCTATGTCAGTTTCCGCACCGGAAGTGATGGTCTTGGCGGAAGGACTAAACTATACTATAAATGCACATAGCATGTGATCTATAGATTGCATATCGATAAGAATGGAAGGAAGTCGTTGGTGACTGACAAACATTCATTCTTATTGTTCATTGCTGGATTCTTTGAAGAGATCCAGAATGCTTCCAGCGCCTTCCTAGCCGAGGTTTCCTTCTCATAGGTTAAGATTTCGCACTTTATATCGAAATCGGCTCCACCATGCGCTTCGTTCCTATGCCTGCCCAACGGTGATAACAGGGTTTTACGCCTTTTATCTGCCAGATGTTCGTTTATGCGAGTACTAAGTGATCTTCCAGTTTCGCCAATATAGAGAGCATTGCAGCTAAGGCATTTCAATTGATAAACCACTCCCGCTTGTGCACAGTCACCTATTCTACCGTACGGACAGACTACGCATCTTTCTGTTATACAGTATCGATCGTAAAGTCTGTTTCGAACTAACTGCTTTTTGATATTGTCGTTTGGGATGTTCACTAAGACAACATCGTCTTGCAGTTGTGCGCGTATAATGCACTTTCGAAAAGCCGCACTGATGTTATCGGAAATAAATGGCAGGCACAGTGGGAGCTTATTATCACGAATGCGGTCACCATTTGCGTGATGTTGGATACGCGGTAGACAGTGGTAACCATTGCTGCAAGCAATCTGAGAGGCTAAACTTCGTGACTCGCATCGTTCTCTTTCTCCGGAGCACATCTGCATAGCTGTTTTGAACATATTCCCGATCACTGCTCGTTTCGTAGATGCAGGATGCGCCGATCTTACATTGATAAGGATGTTCTTTGAGCTTTCCTTGCGGTACCACTTCATGCTAACAATGCCATTGGACAATTTGACCTGTGCGTTGAGGTAGGGGAGCCATCCGTCGTGCGGTATCTCTCGTGTAAGCTTTATGTACTGCGACTGCTGGTTGAGAATTTCGAATGTTGGACAAGTGTTTCGAAATTCTCAACCAGCAGTCGCAGTACATAAAGCTTACACGAGAGATACCGCACGACGGATGGCTCCCCTACCTCAACGCACAGGTCAAATTGTCCAATGGCATTGTTAGCATGAAGTGGTACCGCAAGGAAAGCTCAAAGAACATCCTTATCAATGTAAGATCGGCGCATCCTGCATCTACGAAACGAGCAGTGATCGGGAATATGTTCAAAACAGCTATGCAGATGTGCTCCGGAGAAAGAGAACGATGCGAGTCACGAAGTTTAGCCTCTCAGATTGCTTGCAGCAATGGTTACCACTGTCTACCGCGTATCCAACATCACGCAAATGGTGACCGCATTCGTGATAATAAGCTCCCACTGTGCCTGCCATTTATTTCCGATAACATCAGTGCGGCTTTTCGAAAGTGCATTATACGCGCACAACTGCAAGACGATGTTGTCTTAGTGAACATCCCAAACGACAATATCAAAAAGCAGTTAGTTCGAAACAGACTTTACGATCGATACTGTATAACAGAAAGATGCGTAGTCTGTCCGTACGGTAGAATAGGTGACTGTGCACAAGCGGGAGTGGTTTATCAATTGAAATGCCTTAGCTGCAATGCTCTCTATATTGGCGAAACTGGAAGATCACTTAGTACTCGCATAAACGAACATCTGGCAGATAAAAGGCGTAAAACCCTGTTATCACCGTTGGGCAGGCATAGGAACGAAGCGCATGGTGGAGCCGATTTCGATATAAAGTGCGAAATCTTAACCTATGAGAAGGAAACCTCGGCTAGGAAGGCGCTGGAAGCATTCTGGATCTCTTCAAAGAATCCAGCAATGAACAATAAGAATGAATGTTTGTCAGTCACCAACGACTTCCTTCCATTCTTATCGATATGCAATCTATAGATCACATGCTATGTGCATTTATAGTATAGTTTAGTCCTTCCGCCAAGACCATCACTTCCGGTGCGGAAACTGACATAGCGGTGTTCTCAACGGTATGTTCATTTTCTGGCGCTGACAATTTTTGCGGTAGGGATGTTGAGCGAAGATCGAGAACTAGCAGGAATGAGGATGGTGCTTGATGGCCTCTTTTCACAGATGACGCTTTGAGCCATTTTCAGGCCTCTGAGGAAGACGAAAGGCGTCGAAACGTTAGGCCTTGATTGGAATAAAGAACACCTACCAAACCTGTCTGGCACAGCAGTACTGAAGAATATTGTGTAGTCATTAGTTTTTGTGATATGAACAGCAAATTTATCCAAACGAGGAGCGTATAGTAGCGACTGGCTTTTGAAAATAGCTGTGATTTTGTCCGTAATTAATGCAAATACTACATAGTAGACGTCTGCTTTTCTACAGAAGGATTTTGCTACTCATGAGCAAAATATCGGATTGTTGAGCATCACTTTTTTTAAATGTAATTATGAGTCCGCTCATACAAAATGAACTCGTAAGAAAACTAAAGAATTTAAATGCAAAATTCAAATGTGCCATTATATCGTACAGCGGAATTTTCGGACGGTAAGAATAATCAAAAGAGCAACAAAAATTGGTTTTTTTTAAAATAATTTTTTTATTAGCTCCAGCTCTACCTAGAATCGCAAAAGGCTGTCCAAAGTCCAGAATGGAGATGATTTGGTTGCTGGAGATCGTGTTAAGATGTGCTCATAGATAGAGCAAGAAAAAATTTCTTTTCATATTTTCTCAGCTTTATCAGAAATTCCCACAAACTAGCAGATGGAACTGCAGCAAGGTTATGAAAGGACTGTATGATTTGCGAAACGATGATGGAAGGTTTTACATTATGCAATTCAATAGTGCCATCTTATGTCTTGAAAGAGGACAAAAGTACGTGAGAAGTCGAAATGATTGAAAACTGGCGCAAACAACTGTTTTTTGTTTTTTTTTTTCAAATAAATAAATTTTCAAAGGAAGATGGCTAGAATAGTGCATGGCTAGAATGCAGATGCAGATCTTTTAAGGGAATTTTTTTTTGCTGGGTTCATTGAACTTCAAGTTGCAAATGCAAGGCATTTTTTTTAACAAAAACAAAAAAAATTTTTTTTTGTATTCAAAGAATGTTGTGACAACATTTTGAAGGTTGTGAGCAAATCAATCAACCATTTATCGAACAACTTCAATGAATAAGAGTTTCATATAGTCCCAGTTTCGTGACCTCATTGAAACTCATGGTATTCTCTGAAAATACCGTTTTACTCGAAAAAACTTATTTTCGTTATGTTTGCCTCAATTCTGTCAGCAGACAAAGCAGACTGAAATCACGAGTTAGCGAATTTAGCTGATCATCGTGGTATGGGGTCTTATCATCGTGATTCATGAGGTTTTTCTTGGAACCAATCTAAAGTCATGCTGATATGTCAATTTAAGGTGGTTGAACGCAAGTCTAGTGCAGTACTCTTCTTCCACAATTTCTCAAAGACTCAAACATGGGTGACCTATGTTGGATTTTTTTTGAACTTTTTTTTCAAATAAGCGTGCAAGGGTAAACCAGAAAAACACAGACAAGGACTAGAAAAGCATACCTCTTATGGATGTGCGAGTAGAGTTGTAGGAAAGTTTTCCATGAGTTCTGTTGGTCCTTCCCTAGAGAATATCATTTCGAGGAGTCCTTACGGATACCTCTTTCCAGTCGTACTCGCTTCCATAAAAACGCTGATCCAGCCAGAGTCCATAATGGCTAATCAGCATAACAATTGCCGCATACCTCTGGCCCAGACATTCGTCGATGGGATACGAGGTTCAAAGGGCACTGCCGCAGCATGTGCCTACTTCTGGCGGCTAAATGTCACTCGTTTCTGAGCGATTAGCCATTAAAAATAAGGGACTGGGAGCGTAGCCTTTGGAAGTAACCGCGGGCTATCAGATAGCCCGTCGGTTTTCCTCAGGCAATCATAGTAAATAATTATGAAACTCTCCCTAAGCAAAATTGGACTCACAGTAGTTTTTCTATCAGTGAGAACTTGATTTTGAATTTGGTAAGGCACACAGTGGTCTTTCCACTAGTGAGAAATTGAAAAAAAGATGGACTCACAGTGGTCTTTCCACTAGTGAGCGGGAAAAAAAATGACATTCACAGTGGTCTTTCCACTAGTGAAGTCCAAAAAAAGGAAAGTATTCTCACAGTGGTCTTTCCGCTAGTGAGAATTAAGATCAAAAGTGCCCTCACAGTGGTCTTTCCACTAGTGAGAGTTATGGATAAAATTAGGCTCACAGTGCGTTTTCCACTTGCATAACCTTATATGTACATATATACAATGCCGGCGGTGGCGATAGAGTCACTGAGATTGTTACGCGTTGGTAAAGAAAATATGGGGTTCCCAATGGAATAAGGACGGATAAAAATCGATTGGATGAAAAAAGAAAAAAAAACAATTGTTCACGGCTCGCGGAATCACGGCTCTAGGAAATCACGGCTCGCGGAATTCACGGCTCGCGGAATCTCAATCTAGAGAATCAAATCGATCTAGAGAGAGAGCGTCAAAAATTCACGGTTCGCTATTCACGGCTCGGGGGATCACGGCTCGCGGAATTAGGGAAGAGAAAAAAAAGAGGTAAAATATCGTTAGGTAGAAAATAAAATAGAAAATATTATTTTATGCTAAGAATAGCAAGTAATACAAAACTCAGACTCATCGCCTGACTCAAAAAATAAGCAGAAATTGAGAAAAAATGAATAAAAAAGAAGAAAAAACTACGTGGAAACGTAGGAGATGAGGGCTGGTGCCGGCGGTGGGAGTTTGCAAAAGATTTGGCCAAAATCTATGCTGATTAAATTCAAAAAGTGTTGATTCAGAAAGTAAAATTCTCGAAAAGTGATTGATTCAGAAAAATGTGAGTCATAAAAAGAAAACAAACCGGGACCTCCATGTCAAGTCCAAGAGGTGCACTCTCTTGACTTGAATCCTTCACCCTGATTGTCTTACTTTATATGAACATGACATTATGACTAGAATCTTCATTATATATTTATAAGTAGAATGAGAGGGGAAGGGAAACCGCCGGTCACCCGGTTAGGCAGCTCATCTGGAGTTGCTGGGCACCGCCCAGTTGGCGTGGGGACTGTCGGACCATCTAATTAGTCTGCGTCTCGACATATTTTTCCAGCCCGAAATTTTTGAATGTGAAATGAAAATGAATGGAAATGTCGGCGATTGAGTCGCGACGAGACAACTGTTACAACAACATTCCATGCCGATCAACTTGCATTTTGGTTGTGATACTTTTCCAGCCCGGAATATTTGAATGTGAAATGAAAATGGATGGAAATGTCGGCGATTGAGTCGCGACGATTAAATCGCGTGAAGTCTGTCCGGGGCCTAACACTCATTTTTACTTCAACCAAAACCTTGAATTTTTACCTCAAAAAACTGTTATATCTCCAATACAAAAAACGCTTTGCAGATACCGAAAGCAGATTCGAAATCAGCGGTCCATGCTCTAAATCAGTATATATTTCCTGTGGAAACGCCACTTCGACCAAGTATCAAGTACCTCTCGTGGGAGGTCTGGCGCTTTTGGCAGCGCCGTACTTGATCCGCTTGATCCACTTGATCCGCTTGATCCATTTCGCTATTGGTCAAATCAGCAAATGACCGATAGCGGATCAAGCGGATCAACTGTGGCGCGTGCTCTTTGATGCGGCCATTCTGGGTGGAGGACTATATGTCGCCGAAAAAGGGCGGTCCTCGCGGTCATTTGCGACAAATACGCACCCTTGAATATACATGCGCGGACATGCGTTCCTGCAGGAATCCGCGCGGGACTCTTCCAAATCCGGCGACATATAGTCCTCCACCCGGCCATTCTGTTTCTGATGTGTGTGCTGTTGCCGCTGTTTCTGCTGTTGATGAAGTGATCAGCAGGACAGTCCCATTTCTTCGTTCTCTCAGCGATCGTTGAATTCATTTTATCAGAAATGCCCACACTTCTCGATGGGGAAGGGATACTATCATAAGGAGTCGAATAGTGGATCAAACTAGGGGGAACGAGTGAGCCACAGGTGCGTGGTGAAATGAATTCGCCAGTCATTGGGGAAATGACGATGCTGATCATTCCCTCATTCAACCACAGAAACAGTGTAAGAGATCGGAAACTGTAAGAGATTTCAAGTCGTCCAAAATACGATTTTATGGTCATTTGTTCAGGGCATGGTCGACGGAGCAGAAGCTGAAGGAGAGAAGGTCATTCGAGTGTCGTCCGGCCACCATTCCGTCTTCTAATAAACAATGTGATCCAGCTATTACCTCTGATAGTCAAGAAACCGCTTCTGCGGCGCGACAGGTTCAGTACAGCGACAAGAGCAGAAGCAGAGACCACAACAGAAGCAGCGGTAACTCAGACGTTCGCCATTGATTCCCGCAGAGCAAAATGTTGTGCTCTCACTGAATGCATGCGTGGCTCATAAAATTGATGTTGGGAGACCTGAGTCGGTAGTAATTTGTTCGAAACTCCGAGTTTGAATCTTTGCGTTAACTCACAAGGGAAGGATACTTGATCAAAGTGACGTTTCCATAAAAAACGTACACTGTCTTTCAGAGCATACGCTGGATTCGGAATCTGCTTTCGATATCTGCAAAGCGCCTTTTGGGATGGAAGTTACGACAGTTTTCCTAGGCAAAAACTCAAGGTTTTGGTCAAGGTAAAAACGAGTGTTAAGTTCTTTCGGCGCTTGAATGGAGTAACGACTAGCTCAAACTTATTAGAATGAAGGTCTACACAAAGCGCACTGGAAGTAAGCATGATCCCCTCCAAGCTCATAGACTACTCTATTGAACCTGCGTCTCGAAATTTTTGCGTCAAAACATTCCATAACTCCTCTCCCAGAAGCGCTTTGCAGATATTGAAAGCAGATTCGGAATCAGCGTTCCATGCTTCAAAAGACAGTGTACATTTCCTGTGGAAACGCCACTTCGACCCAGTATCCTTCCCTTGTCAGAGATAACTTTGAGTTCCATTTCTGAGACTCAGAATTTTGCTTGTTAAAACTCTGAGTTCCGCTAAGTTCCGAGTTCCAACTCTCAAAGTCGCAGTTCAAATATGCTGTTTGGTGAGCTGTTATGCAAATGCAAAAGCGACGTTCAAGCTGGGACTCGGACCTGTTCGGTCTAGCTTAGTGATCCTATCACTAAACCGCTTAGACATGACACACCTTAGAAACATGGAGGCTTTTCCACAATGTATCATTGCATTAACACAAAGCATGTCAAAACAAGTCATATCAAAGCCTCACTCGTTTTCATTTCTGTCGACAAGTGGTGTATCGCACGGATTGGTCTTTTGCGCGGTTGAAAGTTTGAACAGTAAAGAGAGCGCATAGCATACGCAATGGTAAGATTAAAGTGTTAGGGTCTGCGCACAGATTAAACCCTCCGCGCAAGACTTGCCCTTATTCTACGATTTGGCCCACTTACAGTGTGCCTACCGTAATCGCTAAAAATGACGCCAGTGTACGGAGCACAGAGATTGTCCGTGCCCAGCGCTGCTCCGAGTAACCCAAACGGTCGATTTTTCGATCAGTTTTGTGGTTTTCTCAGTTCTACCGTATAACTACCGTAGCTCCACTATATGGACCCGCAGCCAGAATGCATGCAATATTTGCGACCAGCGCCCCGAATAATCCCGGTGTACCAAGTTTCGATCAGTTTCGTGATTTTCTTCCATCTAGCATAAACCTACCGTAACCCTGCCAGCTGTCGCGCAGTACAAATTGCATACCAAATTCGTGGTCAGCGCCACGAATAACGCACCAGCCTTAGTTTTGGCCAATTTTGTGATTTTCTCCTTCTACCGTAAACCCATCGTAACCCGGCCATATGACCCCAAGGTGAAAAATGAGTACCATATGCATGATCAGCGCACCGAATATCCCTCGACCAAAATTTTACAAAATTCCAAAGTTTAGTAAATTACTGTGCATACAATACACCCATCATACCTGTTGAAATTACGAGCAAAGTGTACTCCTGAGGACCTTTTAGCTGGCCCTCTTCCTTAGTACACTATTTCTCCTTCTCTGACCAAACTCAGAGTTAACTCCGAATTTCGCGCGAGCCTGAAACGCGCACCAAACTCAGAGTTCTCGCAAAGCTCAGTTGCGCTTTAGTGGAGCTGGTTCTTGTGCAGAACGATTTGGGCCAGGTTTCTCTACTAGGGGTAAACTACCGGTTACGGTGTATTCTGTCATATCATCGCGTTCCAGATTAGGTCTGTTCAAGCACCTGTTATGGGGGTCAAGAGGGGCGCTTTACCTCAGAAGTAACTCAGAGTTAACGCTGAGTTGTAACTCTGAGTTTCGAGAGTTTTCCTACCGAGTCTGATTGCGTTTCGGCAAAAGTGCGCAACAACATCAGATGTCCCAACCGAAATTCTCCGCAGCATCGGGATGTCCTGCGGGAGACACCGATCGCGTTTTGAGCACACAGCTCGCGCTCTATTCATGCCTTTTGGGTTCTGTGTCATCTCTCGCTTCTCTTTCTTCCCCTAACTTGTGTCCTTCGTCTCCTCTCTTACGCCTGTCTTTCATCTATGTGTAAAACACAATCTTATGTCATGAGATTTATTGGAAAACAAACGTAATCGGTACATTAAAAAAAAGAATTTAGAGCCTTCAGAAATGGCTCTTCAATTGCCAAACGAATTCGCCCAATTATACAAAAACTTGAAGCACTCAGCAGAAACTACAAATGGCACGATATGAGTAAGCGTGCACTTCATTATGTTTTCAAATTTGACGCCTCAGTATTTTATCACTTCCTTGATAATGTTGATACCTTCGTTGATGAATGCCTTTTTCAAAAGTCAATTATTTACGTCAACGATGATATAAGTGATCAAAGGTATGATATTATTAGGTCGTTCCGAAAATAATGTCGCTTTTTTCAAATGAATGCCACATTTTATGGAATCAAGATTTTCAAGAGGTCTTACGATTAGAAGCTTTCGATGCAGCATTTCATCCTCTTTTTTATGGTTCTAATTTCATTGCATAGTAATCAATGAGCTCTCGAAAAATTAACAAAATCTGCGACCCACGCTTTTTGCCATGGTCAAGTTCGGCTATTTTTCTAAATATTTGTACATATTCTCCAAAGAAGTACAAGTGACAGTTAGATAGAGCAAACCTTATAGGACACATATTAATTTCTTTTCCTTACCTTGCTTAGAGTTTCTGGAATGACTTTCCCAATGCTAACAAATTCCATATTTGGTCATCTCAAACCTCAAAGAACAACAATCGACAAGCAACTGAGGTGTCATTCGACGCAGTTTTTTCCCCTCTTTCTATCATCTGTTTTTTGTTTCCGATTCATCAAGTTTTCAGGGATAAAATCATCATAATTCAGGTTTTCCAGGGCGCCCTAGGCTGTACCCGGAATTTTCAAAAGTTGCTAATCTGAAGCGGTGAATGCTCACTTGGTTTGTAAAACTAGTGTCAAACCATAATTCATCTTTGTAAGTTTTAAAATCCGAAGATTTATTGGTGTTTGATGCATTTATGTCTGAGACGAGTCTGCTAAAATTTGGCGGTTCCATCAAAAAATCGATATAAAAATCATGACGAGCTCTGGAAAGTAGAAAAAAGTTGTGCTGTTTCCTGTTCGGTTTGCTCTATCCATCCATTACTTGGACTCCTTCCGAGGGTTATTATGAAATTTTGGATAAATTGTGATATTTGGCTTTCTGAAAAAGCATGGCTCGCAGATTTTGGTATAGTCGTCCTCCCTCCACTAGACACCTAGTAGACGAATTCGAATTTGAACTAGAGCACGCAGGTTGCGGCAGAGCTGCAGCTGTCACTTCAATCTCAAACAATTTTTTTTGTGTTTTCCCGACGATACAACCTCATGTTCGAATGCTGACATTCTCTCAATCCGTACTGAAATTGTTGCTTTTGTTTGAGCAATGGATCGTGCTTCTATGCTCGTTTCTTTGACTACGATTCCAAGTTGAGTTTGGAAAAACGCCCAAGTTTGAAATTTGGTGGAATTGTTCTCGGTAGGTCTCCAAGTGGTGATTCATCAAATAATTCGCGTCAAAAACTCCCCAACTATGCATCGGTTTTCCAACCTTTCCTGAAAACAGATTAAAAAAACGAACACAGCATTACGAAACATCGCATAGCAAAAAAAATCCTTCAATTTTGATCACAATCATCATTAAAACAGAAAGAAATCACTATGCAACGACAGTGAAACACAAAAGAAAACTGTGTTAGTTTAAAATGCATTTGACGGTGCCGCGCTCTGCCGCAGCCGGCGTGCTCCAATTCAAATTCGATTTCGTCCACTAGGTGTCTAGTGGGGGGAGGACGACTATAATTTTTTTTGGAGTTTATCAAACATTGTACAATAGTCATATAATCATTGGAAAGAGAATGAAATGCTGCATCGAATGCTGCCAAGGTCTCTTACATATCTTTGTCCTACAAGATGTTGCATACGTCTGAAAAAAGCGACTTTACTTTCGGAACGACCTAATATATAAGGTAAAAAATCACATTTGACGGAAGAAGTAGCTCTTTCAGGATTGAAATGCTAAGTGCGAACATTTGAGTCGCAAAACACTTCAGAGGTAGTGCTTTATTGTGACACTGCTCAGAGAAAACTCATAGTGTTTTCCTTATTGCTATCCTTATCAGGCCACTCCAACGCATCCTTTTCTGAAATTTCGAAAATCTCTCACGCGCTTCGTTTTCGTTGGCTAAAAAATTCACCACTCTTCAAGATACATGAAGGGCTTGCGAAGGCGATCGTGCCTGTTTGCATTTTGCTTATGATCCTATGGAGTTTGCCAGGAAATCTTCAGAAATATACAGTATAGGCCCAGGGCATCAACTGCGAAGCCTAGAGCTATTCAGATCAAGGTACGAACGACACAGATCTACTTGTTGGAAAGATAACTATCTTTTTTGGAAGGCCTTAAAGGTGGTCGAACTTTCCCTTCATCCCGCTATGCCTGGAACTTCTGAATTGCGCTTGCCGTCAGCAGACTCAAACGTGACTTATGAGAAAGTTTTATCTTGCCTTTCTCGCTTACATTCACGAGATGCCACAGAAAGCCTAGGACGAACAAGAAATGGTCGTGCTTATGAGCGCGTGTCCATCGTTTCCTTTTTTTTAAAATTCCAATTATGACTTTCAATCATCTCATCAGTCATGATTTCAATAATTTATTGACTGTCAAACATCTCATTTAAGTTGTTCGAGTCTCCTCTTTCTGCGAAGACAGTTCCGATTAGTTTTTACAAAACCAGTTCAAAGGATATTTGTTTTACAATACAAGAAATAAGAAGCTCAGTGACAGGGCTCGGCACAAGCTGGCACCAGGGAATTTTCAAAACGAAGTCCCCTTGAATTTCGCTAATTTTTACGAAGTCCCCTTTGACTCCGGCCCAAAATCTCTGAAAATCCTCTAAAAAACGGAACATCGACTAAAAAAAACGTCGCAATTTGTCGACAAAAACGATATCCCTTTTGCTTTTTGTCCCAGAAACGATATCCAGCTTGCCCCGTGCCAGCTGGTGCCAGCCCCTGCTCAGTGAACGCTGATTCTCTCAGGCGGCTAATCGCACTGAATTGAATCTTATAAGTCGCGTCGCTCTCTTCCTTTGTCATAAATCCAATTCATCCATAATATTCATAAACAAATTTTTATCTCGCAAAATTATTAAGCCACTGAGTTTGGGCATCTTTAGCGCATACGGCCTCGCCTTTGAATAGTTCAAAGTTCCTATTCAACATAGAAACAGTAGAGATTCAAAACGTTTCGGTGGTGGGCAAATCTAATGCTACGTACAGCTGCCAACAAATGGGATTGACAATGTTCACCAGAAATAAGTTGAGCGTGTCTTTTGTACGGGAGGCTTGGCGCACCAAGTAACTGAAATTTGGAATCTATCAATTCACCTATGATCTTGTCTTTGCACTTACTATCTATCACCAACGAGCCGTTCCCAAGCTGTGCGAAAGTCTTGCTTTTCCTCATATGTCGTTGGTTTCGGATAAGCAATGTTGAGCTTAAAATTATCGGATTGTATATTTGAAGCGGCAAATCTATCACTCTTACCTGACATGTGATTAGGCGAGATTCTTCCATACTTCCGTCGGAGAAGAACATCGGGACCAGTTTATGCGCATCTTTAGTATTAATGACCATTGAGGTCATTCGATATCTTCTCACAAAGAAACTTAGCAATGTGATCAAGGATACGTCCCTACTCTTGTTCAATGCTAAAATTCAATATCTGATTATTTCTCTTGTAGATCACGAATGCCTTTGTTATAGGCCCGTAGTAAAGCTGCTTCATTCGATCTCAGCTGAATAAAATTTCAGTTGAGGCTTCGACGAGTCAGCTTGCCTTCAGTCGAGCCATTGATTGATATTGCCAACCACCCACGATGATAAGATTGAGAGCGCCACGTCCATGCAAGTATACGAGTCAAGACGAGTTTGCCAAACATTCATATCTACGTCACTGGCACTAGCGGCGGGGATGTGGCCGCACTTGTTAGATCTTGTTAAGTTTCGTCAGCATCACTGTGGCTCCTCACCGACATGTTAAACTGACGTGTATCCTAAGTTACTCAGGAGCAACTTACGAGAAGTTTCTCTGCGTATCATCATTGGCACACTATTTACATCAATTGGTAGTCTAACTGAATGTGAACTGACTGAAGTAAGGTAGACTACCTCGTCAGGTAGACGGACGGTCAGCAGAAATCTTATTTTGCATTCTTACAATGTGGAGAGTGGTGATAGGCAGTCTACCTTACTGAATCTTGGATAAGGGCCTCAGTTCAGTTCACCTGAACGGAATTAGCTTTACTACGGGCCATAAAGTGGTTCAAACCTAGCACCAAAACTTTCAGAAAACCGTATTCTCCTCTGTCAGATTCCAGATCAATCTATAGGCTGGTGCATGACAAAGGCGCGGTATTCTTGGGCGCGAACGCGGCTTTATTAGCTGCAGAGCGCGGTGGCGCAGGATTTCCAACGGTGAAGATACGCGCGCGATGTGTGCGCGCACGCTCAACTAATACTGCTTCTGCTCGTCATGCAGTAGCCTTTCAGTTTGAGAGGAAATTTTGCACTTTTCAGTGGTGTCCATAAAGAATATAACAAAAATTGCAAAAGCTTTTAAGGCATGGATTTGGGACCCATTCCTAGCCAATAAAACATACTGTTTTGGTAATTCTTAACAATATTGCGATTTTTTGAATCGATTTCGGATTGATTTCAAAATCGTTTTGGTATTTTTGCATAAGGAACATGATACATTTCAGATATCTGAAAAAATTTTTTCAGTGCCTTCAGGGAGAGAGTCTAGGTCATACCTCAAACGTTGGTTGCCAAAGTTTGAAAAACATCAATTTAGCTTTTGATTTACGACCTACTCTTTTATCCCGATCTTACTGATCGACTGCACCCTTTGATTCAATTGGCCTGGCGGCTGGAAGGCGGGGCTTCGTGACCTAATTGAGGCTAGGCAATGATCAGAAAGCACGCGCGCAGGAGAGATGCAGATTGCGCCGCTGGCGCGAGCGGCCTCAATTAGGTCACAAAGCCCCGCCTTCTAGCGGCCAAGCCAGTTGAATTAAGGTTTATTGGTTTTCGAAAAGAATAGAACATTTACCACATATAGAAAAATATGAAAGCAGATTGAAACATTTTTGATTAAAAAAATGTTTCTCGTCATTTCCAATGCAAAGTTCGTGGAACAGAACAGTATGTTGTAAAAATTCTGTGGACTAGGATTATACTTACGAATATCTGCAAAAAGATCCTCTCTCAGCGGTTCGCCTGGCTTAATTCTGTACGGATAAGTGACGATACTCAGCGAATTACTGAATGTATTGGGTAACTTGTCGCTGCTTACATAGACACTGCAGTTATTATATTCATACTGAAATCGATTTAAATACTTCTGCCGTACAACAGAAACTGTGAACAAATGTCGTACTCTGATATCTGTTGGTATCGTCAAATCATCATTATCTGTCACAAAAAGGATGTTGCAGTGTTGAACGGGATGCTGAAATTTGGAATTTTAACTCATCATGGATTAGCAAAATTTCTCGTACTTAGTGCTATCAAAATTGCGAGAAGTCAGGCTAAGAATGAATGTTGGCTCACCTCCGGAAAACTTTCCATAAACATCGTTTCTTGTCCATCGCCCTCAAAGGTATACATCCTGTTAGACCACACTCCATAAGAGCAAATATTTACAATATTCGGGATAGCATGCCACATCTAGAACATCATATTTCGTCTAAAATTAACTCTGAAGTTCCTCCGGTATAGACGTTGATTCAAGTCAGTCAATCAGGCAGTAATTAACAAATTTCCTTTAGCTATCTGGAGCTGTTCGTGCCAGCTCTGTGCCAGCACCTCGTAGGAACTTGGTTGATCAATAGTGGCGCATGTATTACCGCTAACACGGCGCTGGCACGGCGTTGGCACTATTCTGTCACAACGCCTCGGTCATTTCAGGACGCTGCTTATAGAATCTACAATTTTTTGATTTGCCGAACACTATCCGCAAACCATTTTGCGTGGTGTTCTCTTTTAGAAGAATAGCCAGGATTTTGAAATTGAAGTGAACATAATTATCCCTGGGCCAAAAAAAGCATGGAATAGGAACTTTCATTAAAACAACCCTCAGATAAAACCTCTTGTCGTATAAAAGTGAAACCGAAAAAGTGATAATTATTTTTGGAAAACGAAATGGCGATAATCAAATCTACCTACAATGGAGAAAAAACTAGAGTCATCAACTTCTTTCAGCCAGTCTGTTTTTTGAAACTGGCACTTTCTTGTCGTCCAAAGGAAGAACTCCTGAATAGTAGGTATTTACGAGGTACAGCGAATGATGTTTTTAGCAATAAAATAAAAGAAACATAAACTGCAAATTGAAACATTTTAAAACAGAAATTGAAAAAAAATTGTAGCTCAGCGAATATTGATCTATAATTGGAACCAAACTTACGTCATGTATGTAAACACGACGAAGATGAAAGCAGCAGATGGTGAATATCAAGAAAGACGGAAAATCATTATATAGACGTCTTTTGATCCATCTGAGAAAATCACGTGATGGAGCTAGCATTTCAGTCTTGAAACAGCTCAACATTTCTCTAAATTTAACAGTAATGTAGAAGATTTAGCTTCTTAATTATGCAGAACAATGATGAAAATTGTGTAAAAAATGATGAAATAATTGCGTCTTCAGATGAAATGCTTACAATAAAGGAAAAACCGGAAGTTTGGTGAGTGAGATAATTATCTAAAACATGAAACATGTGTTCGCAACTTGTTATGGATCCATTAGTAGCGGAAGTTATCTTGAGATCTCTAGTTTTTCGAGCTATGGCTCCTGCGTACATACAGCAACCGATGCAACTGTAGCGCAGTGCAAGTGAGCGCGACCACCCGGATCGTCGGCCTGGGTTCGAGTCTACGGCATGGAACTGGCAATGATGAAACCACTAGAGTCTCAGACTAGTCATGATTGATAAACAGCAAGCTCAAATTTGCTGAGTCGGTTCTTATTTGCTGTACAGTTATGGTTCTTTTCTAATTTTTGAAATTTTGCATTTATTTTGTGGCGATTTAAACGCACTACAGCACATTTGACAATGATTTGGCTATCATCCTCGTTATGTTTTCAAAAAAATGTATCATTCGTTCCGAACTTCTATATATTCGAATCTAGCGTTCAAATATGAGTAGTATGGTAAGGCTATGTGTGAAGTTTTATATTTCTGCACCACATAAATGTGTACAGTGATACATAATTTTTATTTATGACAAGGACGACACGTGACTTATTATCAAAAAATAATTTATAATTCATGTTAGGTAAGATATCAGTGAATGATAATTGTCCCATTTCAATCCATTGGGTAGCATTTTCCCTCGCTGACGACGCAGAAGTGATTATCCGGGCATAGATCGTTAACACAAGGTCCAATGGATTCAGCTCCAGCACGGGCTTTGGCTGAAATAAGAAATCGAAATTCAGAAAATTTTCCTGCAACTTTTCAATTCATATATAATTTACTGTGTTGTCATAAGAAAAAGTGAATTTTCAATTTGACCATGTCAATTGGAAAAATTTTTTGTGGCTGCAGAAACCGCAAAAGTATGTGAAAATCTAGAGATTTACCTATAACATAAAGTTCAAATTTCCATATTAATATGTTAAATCAAACAACTTACGCTTTGGTCGAATACAGATGTCATCGTTGCATTGGTATGATTTGGGACACATGTTATTTACGCACGGACCAAGTTCTTCAACTGCAAGTACAACTATAGTAGATAGGTCAAATTTTTAACAGATACGCGAAAATCGCAAAATTGCTGCTTCTCGCACTGAAAAGTAGTTTTGAATTTAGTCGATTTTGTAAAAAGCATTAATTTACGTAAATTGTGATATTAATGTAGGTTGAACTCATCCTGTAAAGAGATCCTAGTGATATTGAGACTTTAGTTATGATCTTCAAAAAAAGATTATTTTATTCGTCTAAAACACTAACTGAAAATATCCAGCTGAAAAAAATTTGATATCAGTTTGTTGTTGGACTGATTTTCAATTATAAAAGCCGTGTCATTGAAATTACTTACTTTCGTTTGGATTCGGTATACATTCTGCTTGAGCGCATTCGAATCCTCTGGGACAGCGGTTCAGGATACATGGTCCGACGGCTTTTGGGGCTTTAAAATCAATCAAACGGTTTCGCTTTTGAATAAAAATTGGAAACCAACTCACAACCCTGTTTACTTTCAGAAAATGCTGTGCATAATATAGCAGCACAAAACAAGACTGAGAGAAGCCGCATAGCGAAAGTGATTGAACTGAAAGAACAACAAGTGACCCTAATGGAGGAACTCGTTCAACCTTTCGGACCACAAATGAAAGCGTGGTTGAGCACTTAAAGGGGCGTAGCGCTTATGTACACACTGGTCACTTACGATCTCAGCTCAAACATCCTTTGACGAAAAACACCATACACAAAAGAGGCCTAAGCTTAGATTTAGTCAAGCTAGTTTTCTCACGTCATGCTATCGCTGTTATGCACCATGTTTCTTTCCGCAAATTTTGGAGCGGAAAGTTTGTTATGCGATAAGCTCAAACCCAAAGGCATATTTACGTATTTATTCAAAAATTAATATTTTCATATTTGGATTTTTTGATAGCGCTAGGAACATCTAATCCCGATGAGACGACCAATCCCGACGGATAACGCGCAAACATAACGTAAAAGAAAGAAAAAATAGAGAAATCGCCAGAAATCAAGCAAAATTTTCCTCGGCCTCTATCATCTAGCTTGTTTTTATCAACACTGTCAGCTCACTGCAAGAAGTTTGTTTGCACTGTGTAAAGAGCCAACTGGTTCTCTCTGAATTTCTGCACATGCCTCATGTCAGCCGACATATCAAAAAACATGCAAGCAGGTTTTAAAGCATACCTGAATATAAACAATTTGATCATTGTGTACTGAAGGTTTTCCCATAAAACTTCTCGCTTACATTCTAGATTTCATGTTCAGCTTGGACAAAATTTCAGTTTGGTAAGAGATGCATATAGACTACTAGCTGGCTTACCCGGCTCCGCCGTATCCGGACCAAACTTGGCACACATACACTTCGGGCCCCGGCGGGTGTCACAGTCCACTTCTCGTTATCGATCGATGTCGATTTTACCGATTTTTATCGATTTTTTTTGCAGAGTTCACCTACAGGGCTAGGAGTTGGCACAGGGGGGAAGTGGGCATGGGGATTACGAACACAATATTAGTTTTCAGAATCGTCCATTACTTTTATCGATCCTATCGATTTTTTTGTAAAGTTTGACCTGCGGGGCTGGGAGTTTGCACAGGGGGGTAATCGAGCATGCAGATTACGAACACAATATTAGTTTTCAGGATCGTCCATTACTTTTATCGATTTTATCGATTTTTTTTGTAAAGTTTGACCTGCGGGGCTGTGAGTTTGCACAGGGGGGTAATCGAGCATGCAGATTACGAATACAATATTAGTTTTCAAGATCGTCCATTACTTTTATCGATTTTATCGATTTTTTGAAAATTTGAGCTAGGGGGCTGGAATTTGGCACAGGGGTGTAATCGAACATGCTGATCACCCCCTCGGGGGTGATCAGCATGCTCGATTACCCCCCTCTGCCAACTCCCAGCCCCCTAGCTCAAACTTTGCAAAAAAATCGATAAAATCGATAAAAGTAATCGATAATCCCGAAAACCAATATTGTATTCGGAATCCCCATGCTCGATTACCCCCCTGTGCGAACTCCCAGCCCCGTAGCTCAAACTTTGCAAAAAAATCGATAAAATCGATAAAATTAATCGATAATCCTGAAAACCAATATTGTATTCGGAATCCCCGTGCTCGATTACCCCCCTGTGCCAACTCCCAGCCCCGTAGATCAAACTTTGCAAAAAAATCGATAAAATCGATAAAAGTAATCGATAATCCTGAAAACCAATATTGTATTCGGAATCCCCATGCTCGATTACCCCCCTGTGCAAACTCCCAGCCCCGTAGGTGAACTCAGCAAAAAAATCGATAAAAATCGATAAAATCGATATCGATCGATGACGAAAAGTAGCCTATGACACCCGCCGGGGCCCGTAGTGTATGTGTGCCAAGTTTGGTCCGGATCGGTTCAGAAATGGAATTTTCTATTCGGAACATACGTACACACAGACAGACATACATACATACAGACAGACAGACAAACAGACATTCAGCTTTATATATAAGATGTCTCAAAAGTAAGTGCACAATTTGAATATCTCCTTTCTAACAAAGTCTTTTACTTACAAGGGAATGGTCAGAAGTCGAAGTGGCCAATCCATACAATCTGCATACCATTCGATGCAGCATAGAATGCCGATTTCAAATCTGTCTTCCATATCTGCAGAGCGCCTTTGTAGGCGAAGTTCTGAGCAGCTTTACTGCGAAAAAATCGCATGCGAAAATTGCGAAATTAGGCACATTATTGCTCTTTTAGCTCACCTCTAGGTATGGGCCATATGAAGTGATTTAGTTATATGTTTTGGTCCAAAACTGAGCCTAGAATGGCTTTGTACGGCCAAATTTGCTATTTACACGCACAATTTCTCAGCAAAATAATGGCCTTCATCAGCTTATAATTTCGTCCACAAAAGCGCACTGCAGATAAGGAAGACAGATCTACAGTCAGCGTTTTATGCTGCATCTAATGGTATGCAGCTTGTATGGAATGGCCACTTCGACTTCTGACTATTCCCTTGTTAGCTTCAGGTACCATTTTGTAGGGCTTGCTTCAACTTAGATTTACAGTACAGTGCAAATTACATATCTATCTTGATTACAGTAAAATTACGGTAGCAACTTTTAGCATACAGCGCCTGAAAGAAAATTTTATAAAACCTAGAAAGTGTGCAGCAGTGTTTTCAGACATGCTGATTTTATGAGACAACATTTTACGAGTTTTTAAGCAATTCAAATGGTTGAACCACATTTTTAAAAACATCGGAAAACATTGTTGCGGTTCATTTGGCATAACTTATGAAGAAAGCCTCATGATAAAGTGCGACTATCACTATTACAGTTAGCGACTCAGTTTACCCAGTGATTGAGTTTTTAACTTGTTGAATATCCATTCTGGGACAAAATGTAGCCACTGATCGCTTAAAATTCTCCTCAAAGCTACTATCGTGATCCTACAGTAATGAAGAGAGCAAGAGGTGGTTTACTCCATACTGTAGATCTAAGTTGAAACTTGCTCCACTAAATGGTACTTGAAACTGAGCAAAACGCTTTGTGAGAGGAGAGTTATTGGAAATTAAAAAGTGTGCATACTTGTGGGACAACCTGTATGTGCAGAAACGGATACTTGGCTTATCCTAAAATCTCACAGATAAGTGCTCCCGTCAGATAAGTCCGTCTACAGATCAGGGCCTAGCACGAGGTGGCATCTGAAGATTTTAAAAACGAAGTCCCCCTTGACATTGCAGGAGATTGCGAAATATCTTTTGTGGTGTTTGTAGAAGTACGGCTAATACAACACTGTAACAAACGCTGAGTGAATGAAAGTAAGAAAAGGCAAGGAAAATTGGAGATAAAAGCAACACGTGAAAAAAGGCGGTTTCAAATGTTGCCAATGGCCACAGCAAAGTAGAGGAAACTGAATTTATGTCAAGGTAAGTACTCATAGGTATTTGAATAGAAGAATAGATTTTGGAAAATTTCGAAAAATTATGTGAGGAATGGATAAAATTATGACTTTGTTGGGTACACATCAAATTTGGTGTCTCATTATTGCTTACCGGTTGTAAACGAACTACGTACTCATTTTTTGTGCATAAAGATTGTGTTCTAACACGTTAAAATCAGTGCACACGGGTCTAATTGTAAGCACTTATCGTCAGCAAGCGTGGGGTGTGGCACGCCACACCTGGGGGTCGTACTGAGGAGTCGACGGGAGGGAGGGGGGGGGGTTGTAGTTGGGCAACCTGATAATAGTGATAACATGATATTCGTAAGCAGTTTGTCAGGTAACCCCATTATGCGAAATACAAGCACATGCAGATTGATACCTCAGCATAATACAGAGGTGCTACGAAGCTTAAAGAGTATCAGTCCATATCTAGCATGTTGATTAACCCCTGCAGACAAAGTTTGAGCGATTTCTGAAGATTTTAGATAGTAGGCCGCCTAAGTGAAATGCTCATTTGCAACGAGATTAACTTTGTTTCAAAGTTGAATTAGCTACCCGTTTCTGCCCTCAAGACAAATCTACTTCTTACTTGTCCACCTCAGAAATCCCGCTTCAAAAGACCTCCAAACTGTGGAATTAGAAGCCAACCAAAATCTCGTTTTTCCCATTTTTCAGTTTTGATGGCTGTGCTTTCACCAAATATCACTCAGAGCTGAGAAGGCGAATCAGGTCCAAATCACTATTGTGAAATCTACGAGATTTAGGCTATCGATACACATAAATATCGATCGCTAAAAATGTTTTGATATAGTTAATGGGGTGTGGCACAACCCCTCAAAAGCTGTGGCGGCCACACCCCTAAGAACTTCACGAGTTCCCTTTTGCTTTCTTATAACACGACATGCAGCGTGTGAAAGCGCCACCTCTGCTGAGCCCTGCTGCTAATAAGTTCACCTTCAGATAGGTCCGCTTTTTTGACTTAGTTAAGGCCCTTCAGATAAGTCCGCCTACAGATAAGTCCGTTTTCTTTCCATTATACCCTAAAATTCGTACAATAAATCCGGGCTTATCTGCAGTTTCGACACGAAAAAATCTATGAAAAATCGCCCTCTGCGCCGCCAAAAGTCTTACAGAGTCCTCCTAATTCCTCTATTAGATAAGTCCGCCTGTCCTGAGGATGAGCAAGCGCGACCTAGGAGCACAGACGCGCGCGACCGCCCGCGTAGCTTGCCGGTGTAGATTTAAACAAGGCCGCTATATCGCCTGAAAGAAAGAGCCAAAGGATTCGAGAAGCTGTGCAGACTACTTGCTGACAGTATCGGTTGCGGATTCATCATTGCATACGCTGAATAGGTGAGTTCTTCTCTTTGATATGAAGTTTCTTGTGCGTTGAAGTTGGTGACATGATAGTAAGGCCGGATTTCATTGCCAGCGATTACTGGGCAGGGGAGAATCTTGATATAGGCTAACTACAACACATGCATCTCTTATAAAGTCTTTTAGAACGTTGATTGTTGCGCATATCCTGTTCCACAACAGTAATTGACAAATTACAAGGAGACAAACGGTTCGTAGTTTCGCAAAAGACTACAGAGAAGTTGTTTTGGATATCACATGTTCTAGCTATTCAATCAAAGCCGTGACATCGTCTGAAAGAGATTGTCTAAGGATTTGACAAACACTGCAGCCTCATAGCCGAGCATACCGTCGAGGGATCTTCATCGCGTACGCGGATAGGTGAGTTCTTTTCCTAGATATGACAGTGCTTGTACGAAACTGAGCGATTTCTGCCGATGAAAAGAATCATAATAGGTATCATCATTATACCATTGTAATATCTCATCTTATTACTGGTAGCATTCATTTCGAAAGCGACAATGTTCTCAACACATCGCTTGAACCTGTACAGGCTACAACCCTTGAACCTGACTGCCTATACTTTGCTTCCTCTATTGTGTTCTCTTTCCTCTTCCTCTATTATTTCTGCTTCCTCTTCTTCTCTAATACTTTGTTTTTTTCACAACGGGTTTTGTCAAATGCTTTGATGAACGGAAGAGTGACAGTCTAAAAACGCTCAACCCTAGCAAAGCATCAGGCTTCTTTGTTCTTTTTCTCAATTGTTGTTTCATAAAGCCTGTACATCCAAGACTAAAGACAGTGTATCAAATTTGATGCCTCCTGCTTTTTCTTGTGAAAGAGTAAACCTTTCGATGATCAGCGCAAATTTATGGGACTCCGCGTGATTCCAGTGTGCAATGACCGCTAACTCAGCGAAGTTAGCAATCACGCAGAGCCCTGTATTTCCGTCACAGTCTCACATGCTGTGACTCAAGCTGTTCAGGTGTCTCGGATCTCAATGGCTACCAGAAGGAAGTCCTACACCACGCTTTTCAAGCTTAACGCTATAGAATACGCTTTCGAACATGGAACATCGGCTGCAGCTGCTCATTGCGAAGTCTCTGCACGTCTGATTCGAAGATGGAAGGCCGATAAGGAGAACTTGGAGGATTCGCCACTGAGAAAACGCGCCAACCGTTATGGGAAGCAAAAGGTAGAGGAAATCGAGGAAGCTGTCTAGGCATGAATTGTGCGGAGGCGGGAAGCAAGCAGAGTAGTGCTTGTCAAGGACTTCGAGCGAAGGCATTGCAGAAGGCATCGGCGTCGTGGTTGGTGCAAATCATTTATGAAAAAAAAGAATTTAGTCGTTAGACGAAGAACCACCGTCGGTCAGCCACGTTTTGATAATGATGAACATGGAATGGAACCTGAATAAAGATCTGTTGCTTTGATTCATTTTGAGACTAAAAAGGCAGCGCGATTGCGCATCCGTCTTGTTTTTATCTGAAAAAAAAGCGGACTTATCTGCAGGACTCTTGGCGATGCGAGGGTGCGTTTCACCGATTTTTCATGTCAAAAAAGCTATCTGTAAGACTTCAGTGTAGAGGTGGATCCGTGTAAGTTTTGGTCAGATATTGGATCTAATACATAGAGACTTGAATCACCCATTACATGTATAGTCGTCTTCCCCCACTAGACACCTAGTGGACGAATTCGAATTTGAACTAGAGCACGCCGATCGCGGCAGAGCGTGGCACAGTCGAATCCATTTCAAGCTCATGGAATATAGTTTTGTGTTTTAACGTCGTTGCTTGGTGATTTTCTTTGTTTTAGTCATCCTTTTAAATCAAAATCGGCGAATTTGTTGTTGCTCAGATATTTCATACTTCTATGCTCGTTTCTTCAGCTCTAAGCTTTCAGGTAAGGTTGGAAAAACGATGCACTTGAGGAGTTTTTGACAAGAGGTTCTATGGAGCAACACTTCAGGAACTTACCGGAAAAGATTTCATTTGCATACTTTTTAAACTTAGTCGTTTCTACTAATTCAACCAGGAGTCAGAACTGAAACGAGCATAACAGCACGAAACTTCGCTTACAAGCAGCAGAGTCTTACATCCTTATTAAAAAAACTGTCAACATTCAAAAAGCACAATGAAACGTCGCGAAAACACAACAAAATCTGTTTATGATTGAAGTAAGGGTTGTAGGTGGCGCGCTGTGCTGCAACCGGTGTGCTGCGGTTCAAGTTCAAATTCGTCCACTAGGTGTCTAGTGGGGGGAGGACGACTGTACGACATTTGCAAACACAGCGTGCAATTCAAGAAAATTCGGGACTACTTTTTAAGTGTGAATATATTGGAAATTGCGATCATAAGAAGTTTCTTCAAAAGCAGCAGATGCAAATATTATGTGACCTATTACCCTAGGTAGTGCGTAACTGTCGCTACTGCAGTAAAGAAGACTTGGCTTGTTTCATAAATTGCATCCGAGGATAAGCTTTTACCAAACTTCCTGAGGGCTTCATGTAATATGAAGGTGAATGGAGCCGTGAAATGTGTAGTCCCCGAGAACTTTGACGTCAACAGCAGCGCAGTTAGCCGCGGATTTCCTTGGAAAGTTCTCCAAGCTGCATTCTGGGAATTTCAGCATGAGGGAATTTCCGAGGGCTTCTTGGCATTTCGTACCCTAAAATCCGGCATATAAGAACGGACTTATCTGCAGTTTTGGCAGGAAAATCGATGGAAAAACGCCGCAAAAGGTCTCACAGATAAGTCCGCCTAAATCCTCTCGCAGATACGTCCGTCTGTCCTGAGCATGAGAAGCGCGACCTAGGAGCACAAACGCGCGCGACCGCCCGCGTAGCTTGCCGGTGTAGATTTAAACAAGGCCGCGAAATCGCCTGAAAGGAAGAGCCAAAGTATTCGACAAGCCGTGCAGACTAGTTGCTGACAGTTTCGCCGAGGATTTGTCATCATATACGCTGGATAGGTGAGTTCTTTTCTTATATATAACATTTCTTGTGTGTTGGAATTGATGACGCGATAGTAAGGCAGGATTTTACCCCATTTTCAGGAATATTAGGCAGGGGAGGTTTATGATATAGGCTAACTACAGTACATGCATCTCCTACAAAGCTTTTTTAGAACGCTGATCGTCGCGCATACTCTGTTCCAAGCAGTAAGTGACGAAGTACAAAGACACAAACGGTTCGTAGTTTTGCAAAACGCTACAGAGAAGTTGTTCTGGATATCACATGTTTCAGCGATTGGAATCAAGCCGTGAACTCCCCTAAAAGAGACCGCCAAAGGATTCGACAAGTCGTGCAGTCTAATTGCTGACAGTTTCGTCGCGGATTGGTCATCACATACGCTGGTGGGTTCTTTTCCTATATAAGACAGTGCTTGTACACATGGAATTTTTCTGTCCGAAAAATCATAATAGGTTTTCTCATTATATCATTGCAATCATCTCATCTTATCATTCATCTTATCGTTTTGGAAGCTACGATGTTTTTAATACATCTCTCGAACCCATATAGGCTACAACCCTTGAACCTGACTCCTATACTTTTTGCTTCCTCTATTGTTTTCATGTTTTGAACGTAGTCTCTGTTGACCCATGCCATACGGCTTTTGTCAAATGCTTTCTTGAACGGAAGAGTGACAGCCTGAGAATGCTCAACCTTAGCAAAGCATTAGGCTTCCTTGTTCTTTTTCTCATCTGTTGTTTCATTAAGCCTGTACATCCAAGACAAAAGATAGTGTAGTCAAATTTGACGCCGCCTGCTTTTTCTTGTAAAAGAGTAAACCTTTCGATGATCAGCACAAATTTATAGGACTCCGCGTGATTCCATTAAGCAATGACCGCTAACTCAGCGAAGTTCGCAATCACGCAGAGCCCTATATTTCCAACATACTCTCACACGCTGTGACTCAAGCTGTTCAGGTATCTCGGATCTCAATGGCTCCCAGAAGGAAGTCCTACACGTCGCTTTTTGAGCTTAACGTGGTGGAATATGCCCTGCAACATGGAACATTGGCTGCCGCTGTTCGCTACGAAGTCTCTGATCGTCTGGTTAGAAGATGGAAGGCCGATAAAGAAAATTTAGAGGATAGGCCACTGAGGCAACGTGCCAACCGCTATGGGAAGCCAAAAGTGGAGGAAGTCGAAGAAGCTCTCCATGAATGGATTGTGCGAGAAGGAAGCCGAACACTTCTTGTCAAGAACATTCGCGAGAAGGCATTGCAGCTAGCGCGGGAATTTGGCCACCAGGACTTCAAGGCATCGCCGATGTGGTGCAGACGCTTCATGAAGAGAAAGAACCTATCTCTAAGGCGAAGAACCAGTGTCGGTCAAGCACTTCCGGAGGATTGCGAGGACATCTGCGCGGACTTCAGGAGATTCGTACTAAGGGAATCGCTTTACATCTCCCCCCACAATCTTGGGAATGTCGATGAAGTCCCAGTGCCCTTCGATAGGTTTATTCAAGGACCGTGGATTAAGTGGGAGACTCAACAGGACATGAAAAGTCGAATTTTACCGTCGTCCTCTCTGCGACGGCCGCTGGAGAGAAATTAAGACCGATGATAATATTCAAGAAAAAGAGGGTTCCAAAGGATAACTTCCCTCCTGAAGTGATTGTGCGTGCCAACGAAAGAGGCTGGATGAATCACGAACTGATGAAGACATGGCTCCTCGAGGTGTGGAACAAAAGGAAACGCTATGTCAACGATCCCTTCCAGTCATTGCTGATATTGGATTCTGCAAGGTATCGTTTCGTATTTTACCATTTTTGAGCTTATCTTGCTTTTTTAAGGTGCCATCTCACAGAAGACGTCCGAGAGCTTTTCAAGGAGCACTCAAAGATCGCGGTCATTCCAGGCGGAATGACCAAATATCTACAGCCTCTCGACGTCGGCATCAGCAAGCCCTTCAAAGACAATCTGAGGGCGGGATGGGAGCGATGGATGGCCGATTCAGCACGAGACACAACAGGCGGCGCCAGGAAAAGGATGACCTACGGCGAAGTAGCAGCACTAGTCTACGAGAGTTTCAATGCGATTACTGAAGAGACCATTGCGAACAGTTTTACCAGGGCTCTCGATGACGAATCATTGATCAATGCCATGAAAGAGGATTTCGACGCTTTGGTTGTTGCTGATGATAACGCTGATGATGATCGTTCTTTTGATTTTGATGATGATGAACATGGAATGCTACCTGTATAAAGATCTGTTGCTTCGGTTCATTCTGAGACCAAAAAAGGCAGCGCAATTGCGCATCCTTCTTGTTTTCATGTGAAAAAAATAAGGCGGACTTATCCGCGGGACTTGGCGGCGCGCGAGGCGCGCGAGGCTGTCACAAAAGCGGACTTGACTGAGAGCTCTTTTGCGGTCTTATCGGCGAGGCGGTCTTTACTGCGAGGCGATCTTATATGCCGGATTTTAGGGTAATACTGCCACCCCACTTCATGAGTAAATGTCATATGCCATCATAAAAATCTAATTTTTTAAAATAAAATGGCCGCTCGATATGGAGGGCAAGCGTTAGGCGACAAAACGTGCAAAACGCAATCAACGTAAAGCCCGTAAGTCAAAACTATATGCAATTTTTTTGATGGCGTCGAGTAATGTATCGGCCCCGACCCCCACCCCCCCCCTGTTTTTGACGGAGGAGACGCTTTGCACGGGGAGTTATTTGGGGTCTAAAAAATCGGGTTTGTCGCCTAACGCCCTACATCCAAAGTACCTCCAGCCTCCTCGTTGTACTGTTCGTGAGAAATCAGTAGATACGCCACTGCCCGCGTAGATAGTATATACAAATTAGAATTAGTTAACGTCCAGAAGGAAAAACTTTTCAGTTGATTTGCGGCACAGTTGCACTGTCTTCACAGGTTATCCTAGGCAGGTCACAAACCTCTGGGTTGATTCCTCAAGCCAGTAACTTACCTGGATTTCTAAGCTACTGCCCCTGCCACAATTCTCTTTACTTTCTACCGCCCACTTTTTGTATGTTCATAGCAATTGCCCATTTTCCTGCCTTATGTGGAAATGATCTGATATTTTGGTAGAAAATTTCTGTTGAATCTTCCTTCATTTACTCTTCAATGCCATTCTTCGCAACAAAATATTTCCTATTTCCTTTGAAAACCGCTTTTCGAAGTGTTTGCTCTTGAAAGTTCGATCCCAAATTTTCATTCTCCTTGATATTTTTCTACGTTCCCAATGGAAGTACCAGGAAGTCTTCTTGGGTAAATCAAAGTTAATCCTTTCCATAATTTTTCTAGTAAAAACCTTGGCTTGGACTTCACGCTTTCAGAAGAATCAATTTACGTAGCTTTCGATGTCAGAATCTAGCACTCCTTTCTTTGCCCCACAAAGTTTTCAAATGTTCACAATTTCCTTTCCAATTCGTGTGTCAACTCGTCTTGTCATCTATTCGTAAACCTCTTTATGTTTTGTGAATACACATCTAGCTACAGGTTAAATAAGGTGAGAGCTCTAAGTAATCACACCGAAACAGCAATCTGTACTCATAATTACGATACGCTGTAACACTCTACGCTTTCATTTTTGTTTCTGTCGATGGCATTTTGTTTACTCTTTTCACTATACGTTACGAAGTCTCTTGTACCCCAAAATATTGGGTTGTCAAGAAAGTTCCCGGGCACTTTCAAAAATTTCCTTTCTAAACGCATTTTTTCGGCGCTCGGTCGGACTTTGACACGTTTTTTTTACCGTTCAGTAGAGGAAAGCCTAAAGTCTTCAATACGCCTTTTGATTTTTATCGATGCCAAGACGTGTTTGATCCGCACATCAAGAAGAAAAATCTTTCCAACTATGAAAATTTTACGATTTTTCTTCCCATAACCATATTCTGTGCAGTTCAAAAAATTTTGTCCAAATTATGGGTGATCTGATTGAAAGCCTGCTGACTTTTGACCTGCAGCTGCACTCAAGTTTTGCAATTTGCGCTCAGAAATTACAAGCTGTCGAACTTGCCTCTGACTGCAACTCTTTTCGCAGCTGGCGTCGCTTCTGCGAGGATCGCCACGCCTGGATGATGGGTCCAAAAGATGAGTAAGGCATTACCCCAACAATGTTGGCAGTAATCAAAGATTTGGTGCACCCTATGTAGAATGACAAGACTTCGAAGTCACTTACTTGAAATATGGTGCCTTTTTGGGGGCAAAGAATGGTCGATTTTTCAAACTTTCTGGAAGAACTTTTTTTGCATGTGGTTGCTCAAAGGCTTGAATAGTCTCCATAACAGCCTCAGCAGACTTCTATATAACTACAGCATTTCAGCTCTCCAGCTTTCATCGTGATTGAGATAATCCTACACAAATAGGCCACTTTTCGCAACGACCTTTTTCCTGCGCATGCTGATGGACCGCAGTGAGGTGCTGAAAGGCCAGCAAGACATTCATGTTGTGGACGAAATTGTCTTTGCAATGAAGGTTGTAGCTTCAAGAAAGAATCGATCTGTTTGAAGTTACAGCAATTTGAAACCAATTTTTGCAAGTGCCCGGAAACATTCTTTACAACCCAATGAGATTTAACATTCACACAACACAGTGTCAGGTGCCGGAGCAATTATATTACCTTATGAGGAATCAAAATGACAAATGACCTGTTTTTTCTACAAGAGAATGGTCAGAAATCGAAGTGGCCATTCCAGACAAGCTGCTTACCGTTAGATGCAGCATGAAGCGCTGACTCTAAATCTGTCTTCCTTACCTGCTTATCGCTTTTCTGGACGAAGCTATAAGCCATTAAAGACCATTATTTTGCTAAGAAATTATGCGTGAAATTGAAAATTTAGCCATATAGAGCCACGTTCGCCTCAATGTTGGGCCAAAACATGCAGCTAGTTTGCTTAAAATTTTTGAAGCCAGAAGCTGAGCTAAAAGCGCAACAATGTGCTCAATTTCGCTGTTTTTATGTATGATTTTTCCACAATAAAACCGCTTGTGGCTTCGTCAACAGAAGCGGGAAGCAGATAAGGAAGACAGATAGTCAGCGTTTTATACTGCATCGAATGATATACAGCTTCTCTGGTTTGGCCACTTCGACTTCTGACCATTCCCTTGTTAGCACCGCAGCAATAAGGCCCATCGACTTCGTCTTCCCCCTCTCCACGCCTAAGACAAAATGCCTTATGCTTGCTAATGTCATTTCATTGCCGCTTTGTACACTGAAGATTGAGTAGAAATTCCGCGAATTTACAAAAAGTGAACCAGACTAGATTTTTCTGTCAGACCTGCTTTGCATCAACAATGGTCTGATACTAAACCCTATTGAATCCATTATGTGAAACATTTCGTATTCTCACTGCTAGAGGTCATTTATGCAAAATCAATATGCAACATAGGATGAAGAAACACGGAAATGCAAGTGGAAGTGATTCATGGCAGTCAAATGGTGATACTGCGGCCGCTGTCTATGATTAGTTGAGAAAAGCATACAAGGTGTCACGAGTAAAACTTCATCTACTAGACTGTGCCATTCCGTCCATCAAGCACGGTATCCGCTCGGTTCGGCTTTCGGCGGTGCTTCGGCGGGAGGTGCTTGCTCGACTACTGCAGGTGGCTGCTCTGGAGGTGCTGGTGGAGGAGCTGCCTCCACAGCGGGAGGAGCTGCAGCTGGCGCTGCTGCTCCTTCTGCTGGCGCTGCTGCTGGCGCTGCTGCTGCTGGCGCTGCTGCTGCTGGCGCAGGTGGCGGTACTACAGCTTCGTCTCCGTATGCATTACTTCTCTTAACTGTAAAACGAAAGTATAGCAATGAAAGCAAAAAATTGAACGAAAACTTTTAGAGTCAAAAAGAGGGGGATTATCAAGAGTTTGGCTTTCTCATTTTTGCACAAAGTCAATGTAAAAAGCGTAACTGAGCTTTTTGAATGTAGGTTCTCCCCATCAAATAGCAACATAGTAGTGGTAGACAATTATGTAATGTTGCTATTCCTTTACAGCGCCTAAAATCAGGTCAAAGGCAGTGGCTGGAAAATCGCTAATGGGAGATTTTCACAACTACATGACCCACCAGCTGAGTCAGGTACTGTGCTTGAAAAGTCAAAAAAGTGTTTTTTGGCGTTTTCCGACCTTGGAGATTGCTGGAGGGGCGGGGCGAGGAATTTCCCTCAAGTATGCCTGGACTGATCAGCCAATTGCCGCCAAACTAGGCGAAGTTACAGTATCCTGCAGTCACTTGCTGGTTATGGCGGGAATCTCTCGCCCCGCCTTTTCAGCAATCTGCAAGGCCGGTTAACTCCAAAAAAGACACTTTTTTGACATTTCAAACACAGTACCTGACTCAGCTGGTCCAGAAGGCCATGTAGTCGTGAAAAGCCCCCGTCGCAATTTTCCCGAGCCACTGCCTTTGAGAAAGTGGCAATTAAAAATTGTGACCGTGGCAGATTTCTCGTTGTGTACTGCATGCTTTCCGCTACCTCATCAAACTAGCTTTTTTCTTTACTCGAACATTTTTTGCGGAAAGCTACCTAAAGTAGACGAGTGCAGCATTAAGGTGACGGCGCGTTAGGCGGAGTTTCGTCCTCTGCTCTGGTGGATTCGGCGCATGGACATAATTTCTAGCATCGCCTACTCATTATCAGCCCTACTGTTCTTTCGCCAATATTGACGAACATGATCAGCTATTTGCCACAAAGTCAGACTTTAAAGTCGTTGAAGGTCGCCTTTTTGTCGCTCAATCGATCAATAAAGCCGCTAGAAAAATAAAATTTTCAATGTTGCCAAGTAGAGGTGCCATTTGTCTCGCAGGAGACAGCATCAGAATAAGAAACAACAGCCATCGTGAGTTTCGTAACATCATTAGAATTTGTGATCTGGCACATTGCGCTTTTACGCTTACAGTTGGACTCCAAAGACACCTTTACATTATTAAAATGAACTACTTTTCTGCATATTGGTTTAATAAACGCCACGAGTTGTGGTAGTCTGTTGGAGAGCAAAGGCAGCAAGTAATGAAGCCAAACGCAAAACTTCAGGTAATCATACCTTTGCAAAAGCTTGTCATTAATTTGGCTATTAGATATTTCAATAATGTCGCGCATTAGCCGATAGTTGCTCGAGTAATGTAAAGACTAAACTATCAAAGTTTTATGTAACCAATACAATTTAGACTATATGCACTTCAAGGTGTATGATGTGAATTTTTTTAAGGATTCCAAAATTATATGTGAAGGCTTCACACTATAATCCGCAATATTTTATATAGTACTGAAGTCTTTCTATGAATAAAAAAACTATGAATAAGAGGCTTTAGCAGATCATGCACGGCATACGCAGGATGCTCGCAAAGTGAGTACCCTAATTTCACGCGTACAAGGCGCACCTTTTTCGAATCTTCGACTAAGCCCCTCAGCCGCTTTGAATTATTTCGGAAAGCGATCCTTATGCCGTACGATTTTTTTAATCAATATACAGCAAGGCATAAGGTCCTTTGGCTGCGAAGTTCTTTGGCGTATTTGGGCTGGTCGATTTTGGAAAAAAATCCCCCGCGCCTTGTACGCGTGAAATTAGGGTACTTATTGTTAATGGCAAACTCGACAAATACATGAAACCGTGGAAATAAAATAATGCTTCAGCATTGTGGAAGTCTTGACCCGGTGGACAGCGAACATAAATTAGAAGAAAAACACTTGCCAATGTTCCGCGCTTCAAGGACGCTGAAAGTCAGCAATAGGATCAAAACGCGAATGTAAATGGCAGCCATGAGAGATTATTCTGCAAAGCGGTTCCACTAACGTTTATATAGTCTCGACCCGCCTAGAGATCACTAAGTCAGAAACCTGACACTTCGGCATTATTTGAAAAATTGTATCTCGTGACGTGCAAGTTCACTGAATAGCCTATGGAATCCAAGAAAAGCAATTCATTTTCAACTTGATTTATAATTATATAACTTTGACTGGAAACAAAGTTCTGCAAGCGCGTTATAATGTCACAAGAAATGGTCTCGCTTTATGCGTCACCTGAAAAAAAGATCCGAAACGAGTCCGCAACAATCTCGACAGGTTTGTTTGTTTTGTAAAGGCACGCAGTATTGAAATTGAACACACACTTTGTGAAATATGTTCATACTGTTTTACTGATATTCCGAATAAAAAGGCGCGAGCCGAAACAAACTACTTAAAGCCAGCGTCCCGACAAAACTTCGGCTCAATGAGTTTCGCTTATTTAGACTTATCCGTCCTGCTGGTTCCGATCATGCAGCTTGGTGACGCCAAAATATCAGAAACGGACTTTTTTTCGAAGCCTCTTAGTTTGAATAAGGACGTGAGGCGCAAAGCCCAAGATTAAAACGCACAGTTCGCTGAGAAACCCTACGGTGACTGTGGGTGCCATGTGCATTCTGGCGCCATGGAGTTCGAAAGGCGGCGTCCGGGCCTACTGTAAGATCAGGGCCACTTTCGAGCCAGTCTTTAGGGTTCACAGATCCCCTTTTTGCACCGAACTCCAGACATCGTTAGATTGGGGTACTGTGAAACTTTGCTACAAGAACCGTTAACCCCCCCCCCCCCATTTTGCCGGGAAGCTGCCTTCAAACAATTACCTGTGTTGTACTTATAGCTCCAGAATCATTTACCTGGAAATGCGCTGATTGGCATTCTAGGACATCAAGGTGGGTCACGCTTTTCAAGTACCCTAAAATCCGTACAATAAGTCCGCCTATCAGATAAGTCCACCTATCAGATAAGTCCGCAACAGACCTAGCAGATAAGTCCGCTTTCTTGACAACGAAAGTCGCCCTCGCGCCGCCAAGAGTCCTGCAGATAAGTCCGCTTTCTCATGCTCAGGATAGGCGAACTTATCTGCTGCAGACTTATCTGATAGAGGATTTAGGAGGACTTATCTGTAAGACTTTTGGCGGCGCAGAGGGAGATTTTTCATCGATTTTTTGTGTCAAAACTGCAGATAAGTCCGGACTTATTGTACGGATTTTAGGGTATTAATTCGGTAGTCTCAACTTTTCTCGAACTCCACCCTATCAAACTAGTCACTCATGCGCACACGTCTGTTGCAGACGGATCATCTTCAGCACCACTTACGAAAATATTTCCGCCGCCGGCGAACTGAGACCCATCAGCATTTTTTGGAACATTCGTATATACCAAGCAAACTTATCAGCTTCCATGTTCTTACAGACTGATTCTGTTCTCCTCACTCAAGTACCTTCTAACACTGAATCGTAAAATCGCTTCCAGGCATTAAGCTGCGCAATTTCTATAGAATGGATAAGTGCAAAGCCATCATTACTGAACCCCACTCAAAAAAGACTTAACGGTTCTGAGCTAGGTCTATGGGGACAACAGAAGAGAGATTGTAAATCATACTGATGCACGGTGTCGTGCTCTGTCTTCTTTTGCTACAGAACCATCTGATCCATCATCATTTCCAACATCTCAACCAATCATGATGCCTTTCTCCCGGCAGTTTCAGGCTGTCTCCCTGTTCGGGAGCTTATTTCGTAGTCACTGCGCATCCTTTATCGATAATTCGACATCAGTTTTTCTGTTTTTATTTTTGATAATCTGATCTAGGAAGCAATGAAGACAACCGCGCATCAAAGTATGCTGAAAATCAAAGTAATGGGTGAAGAAACGACCTAACCGCTTACATAAGCACCTTTGCCTATTGTTTTGGTAACGCATTAACGCTTCTCTCCCACAACGCTGCGGGTGGCGCGGTAAAGAACTCGAACAGGGTTTTTTGATCTCTCATAATTGCGCTGCTATACCGTAAAGTCATGAAGCAATTGACTTTTATTTCTGGATAAAAAGCAAAATACTTAAAAAATCGCACTTTTTGGCGCAATAAAAACCAGAAAATCATGTTTTGAATTGTATTTTTCGAGGGCAGATGAAATTTGAGGTAAACTGCATACAGATATATAGAGCGTAAAGAGCTCCATCAGATGGTATTCATATAGCATGTATTCACTTGCAAAGAAGTAAATAACACTCATCTTGTTCTAGAAAATGCTAATGACCATATCTTCTGCCTTTAACCGCTGCGGCCAGCAAGCCATTGTGGGTTTCGTGATGACTTCACCCATTGCAGCAGTGGTACTACTCACTTGTTTCACTGCGCAGATATGCCCGAGGTTCATTTGTCGAAGTAACTAACTTTGCATTTCAGCAAGTATAAGAACTATCGAGTGAATTGATGACCTTATATAGGTGTCGTGAAAGAGAACAATCTTATATATAAAGCTGAATGTCTGTTTGTCTGTATGTATGTATGTCTGTGTGTACGTATGTTACGCATACAAAATTCCATTTCTGAACCGATCGGGACCAAACTTAGCACACATACACTTCGGACCCCGGCGGGTGTCATAGGCTACTTTTCGTCATCGATCGATATCGATTTTATCGATTTTTTGCAAAATTTGAGCTACGGAGCTGGGGGTTGGCACAGGGGGGTTATAGAGCATGCTGATCACCCCCGTGGGGTGATCAGCATGCTCTATAACCCCCCTGTGCCAACTCCCAGCGTGCTCGATTACACCCTTCTGCCAAATTCCAGCCCCCTAGCTCAAATTTTGCAAAAAATCGATAAAATCGACATCGATCGATAACGAAAAGTGGACTGTGACACCCGCCGGGGCCCGAAGTGTATGTGTGCCAAGTTTGGTCCGGATCGGTTGAGAAATGGAATTTTCTATTCGGAACATACGGCGGAGCCGGGTAAGCCAGCTAGTATATTCTAATATCTAAACAAATTGGAGAGTTCAATCACTTCTCTTTCTCAAGAAATCTACACTTCCTATGGCCCCTAGTAAACTCCCCATCAGGGCATCTCTCTCGACGCGGACCGGAGTTGATCTCATCACGCCTCAGTCTAGCATCCAGTGACCTATTGATCTGGATGCGGATCGCTTTCCAATCATGATAATCATGTGTGTCCTTGAAAAAAAGAACCACTTGAGCTAGTTTGGTCGACTAGGTAAGCGACTGGAATTGAATGCGCGTGGCCATGGATCAACACCGGCCACCGCATTTTTGCTGTATGCCTGGCGTCTTTGATAGCGACCACTAAAATCGATGATGACCGCTATTAAGGATCTCGCATAGCACATGCATGGATAAAATAAAACGTAAACACATTTTTTAACAAAAATTTCATGAAAAAATGAAGTGGTTGCAATATGAGCTCAATGAATTAAATCAATAAATTCTTGCCTCAAGAAGCTTTTCGAAAAAAGTTAGCAGACTCTACAAAAAAGAAGAAAATCTGTTTCCTTCTTTTCGACGCCAAAATCAGCTGTTCATCGATTTTCTCCTTTTCGGGCCTCCGTATTGTGCAGTTTTGCGCCGATTTTTTCCGCAGTGTTAGGCAAAGGTGTGTATTGTAAGTTACTCAGGAGCAACTTACGGGAGTCTTGTCTGTGTCTCCTCTTTTACACAATATTTTCATTCGTCTAACATCAGTTCACGTTCAACTGAACGTGAACTGATGTGCACGAGTTGACTATAGCAGGTGGACGGATGGTCAAATATCAGTTCACTCGCCATGCATATAGCATGGGAAGGTGGGCGGTCATCAGTTCACCTGATGTAAGGTGAACTGATGGGTTAAGTTCAGTTCACCTGAACTGATCGAGCTTTACTACGGGCCTATCTGTCTGTGTGTACGTATGTGCGGAATAGAAATTTTTATTTCTGAACCGATTTGGACTAAACTTGGCACACATACACTTCGGGGCAGGGAGCGTGTCATAGGCTACTTTTCGTCACCGATCGATATCACTTTTATCGATTTTTATCAATTTTTCTGCAGAGTTCACCTACGGGTGGGAGTTGGCATAGGGGGGAGGGAAGTGGGCATGGCGATTCCGAACACAATATTAGTTTTCAGAATTATCGATTACTTTTATCGATTTCATCGATTTTTTGCAAAGTTTGAGCTACAGGGCTGGGAGTTGGCATAAGGCGATAAGTGAGCATGTCGATTCCGAATACAATATTAGTTTTCAGAATTATCCATTACTTTTATCGATTTCATCGATTTTTTGCAAAGTTTGAGCTACAGGGATGGGAGTTGGCATAAGGCAATAAGTGAGCATGTCGATTCCGAATACAATATTAGTTTTCAGAATTATCGATTACTTTTATCGATTTTATTGATTTTTTGCAAAATTTGAGCTACAGAGCAAAGAGTTGGCACAGGGGGGTAAGTGGGCATGCTGATTTCGAAAACAACTCAGGGAACGGGAAATGAAGCGTAGATGGGCACAGGGAAAGGCTGTACAGGAACAGGGATGGGACCTTTATTAAAGGGGTAGGGAACGAAAGCCGCCAGCTTCGGTCGCCTGCGCGGACTGCTGGTCCTGAAACGACATGCAACAACATTGCGAAAGGACCAGTTAGCCGCGAAAGGCGTCTCAAACTGGCGGCTTTCGTTCCCCTACCCTTATTAAAGTGTTATGACAGAGCCGAGCGAAGCCGGGTAAGCAAGCTAGTATTCTATAAGTGTCCCATTTTTTACCGTTCACCGTAATAGATGTCAAGAAATTCCTGGACCAAGTTTCAGCGAATCTTGAGACTTCCAAATTTCCTTAGGCCAAAGTGAAAAGGTCATTTTTGAACGCGACTAGTTTCGTTTCAAGAGTGAGTCAGCTAACTTCCTGCACTCAATACAAGGCACTACTACTTCTTGATCCACTTGAGGAATTCCACCTTTAAGGCAGCGGCTCGGCAGAATTTCAAC